CATCTATGTGGGGTTTGTGACGTTGGTCGTACGTTGTTCGGACAGGGGATTCGATAAAATGCCATCAAAAAGGCAGCCCATGGAGATTTTGAGTTGGATAGACTTGACCCTGACAGTCTCTTTGCCACACACCCACAAACACACCATGGGGACTCCACACCCCCCCAGTACCCGTTAGTTTCGCACCAAGATGGTAATGGGTGCAGTGAGCACTAGGAGGCCAGCAACACTGTGGTACCAAGTAACCTAACCAACTTGTCGCCATCCTCTCGACCCGTCACGTCCGACCACAGTCTTGACTGGTCGAGCGGCTGAACGCAAACTGCCCGGTCTCGTTGGAACAGCGACCAACCTTTGGCCATGCTGGGTAGTCTGTGCCTAGGCCGGGTTCAGTTTACCAAGCGTGCATGTGTTGTGCACGCATGTGTGCACGCATGTGTGCACACACACCAACAAACCGACCGAAACACCAGGCTTTGCCCGGGGCTTCTCCTCCGCCCTGGCCATCGACTTTCTTTTTCCCGTACTCTGCTTTCAAACATTACAGTCCTCCTGGCAGAGTCCTCGGGTTTCAAGTGCCGTTTTCCTCACACGGCTACCGATTGACTTCGTTATGGTGGCGTTCTGCCATTGTGTGCTGGGCGTGCTAACGCTAATAATGTGACGTCAAGTCAAGGGAGCTTGGGGCACGGCTGTGTGCTCTGGGTTTGTGACGTCTTTGCGAAAGGGAGACAGTAGTGCCCGCCGTGGGGAAACGCGATGCAACGAGGCTTTGCTTGCCAGCTTGCCAAGTCGTTGTTTCTACTTCATCATCTGCTGGCACTGCCACGCATTGAAGTAACAGCAACGTGCATTGTTGTGATAGCTCGAGAGAAAAGAGACCCCTCTGCCCTCTTGCCCCATGCTGGACCCATGTCGTTCTCCAGTTATTCTAGAGGTTTCTTTTGGACGGCCGATGAGACGGGGGGGGGTGCGGGATCCCTGTGAATCGTAACGATAGCAGCCACTTTACCGATGGATGCTCTCTGCCGACCCCCACCAACCCTGGGTCGCCATCGCGGGCAGCGGGGACACGCGATTTTCTTTCTTACGCTCTTACGACGACTGCATCTGTTCCTGTTCCTGTTCCGTGTTAGGCATATTCAACGTTGGTTAGATCCTTGGCTTCATTTCATCGCCAAGAGTACCTGTTGCTCCCACTCATTTGTGAACACCATGGGCAGGATCGCTTAAGTTGGGGAGCAAAAACATGCAGCTGCTCGATCCTCGATCCTCGCAGCGAGCCCAGCCAGCCGAGCCAGCCAAAAGTGCGGTCCCAGTGCAACGCCCCAGGATTGTCTGGCGGAGTTATGCCCGGCGGCAACTCAGCGGTGATAACACACCCATCAGGCTGCATATCACCGGCGGCTGCTATTGGGTCCACAAAATCCATCGGCATGCGGACCAGGAAACAGGCCGAATGGACGCGTGTGTTTGGGCCTGTATGCTCCTGTGGTCCTGCGCTCCTGTGGTCCTGCGCTCCTGTGGTCCTGCGCTCCTGTGCTCCCAGGGCGCTCGAGCGGGGTCTCGTACATGGTAGTCCCGAACGGGTTGATTGAGCTGGATCGAGTGACGGGTGGATACTCTGTGATCGGCCTCGCGAGGGCTCGGTCGCTGAGCAGGGAACGAATGAGGTCGAGCGATGAACGGCGAAAACTGTCCGGCTGGTGGTTGTGTGCTTCCTGGCGGACGCTTGCCCAGGTGGTTGGAACGGATGGCAAGCTTGCCAGGGTGGTGGTGAGACGGGCAGCATGTGCCACGATGTGCCAGGCTTGCCAGGCTGGGGGGTCTTCTCATCCTTCGTTATCAGCGCTTTTGCCTTATGTTCCCTTGGAAAACGTAGGCGGGGGTGGGTACGTTCCGATGAACGTCAGAATGTCCGACTTGACGTTTGTTGGCCAAGCACGTCTAGGGTGCGTAGAAGGTAGAAACCACGACAATGGAGTGATTAAAGGTTGACGGGTCCTTGACGAAACGCCTGCAACACACAGCCTAGGCTGAACAGCCAACTGTGCTGGCAGCTATTCTGACATGAGTGCGCAGCCCTCAGAGATGAACATCAATATGCCGTCAATGTCGAACAGCTGGTGTTCGCGTTGAGGGTCGGGCGAGGGACCGAAGGGACGCCTAGTGACAAGGAGATGGCAACGAAGGATCTGGACCCGGTAGTCAAAGCCAAAACATTGAGTTGGTTGCAGTTCCTCTTCACGCCATCTGTGTTCCGGCAAGGTGCAGGTGTCTATCTGTCAAGGCGATGCGTGGGTTGTCGACTGGGTGAAAGCTTACTGAAGGCTGGAGACTAAGGCACCTAGCGAGGGCAACATGAGGATGAGGGGGGGTTATCCGAGTCCGAGTGAAGTCTGCCTGCTTCTCTTCCTTCAGACGGCAGGGACTGCCAATGGCAAGCAGCGGAGGTAATGGTGCCTTAGCTTGCTTACCTTAGGTACCTAGGTACCTGTGGTGAGGAAGATAGAGCCAGACCCCTATCGAGCATATTACTAAGGGTCCTGCACCTCCCCTCCTCCTCCAGAGTTGGAAAGGCCCTGCCCCCCATTGCCTAGAGCGCCCCCCGCTGTGCCGTCCGTTTCTTCTGTGATCCTCCTCAGTTTGGACTATGGACCCGCCAGCCGAACCCGAACGGTAGATGGAAAGCTTCACCCAGTTCCATGATTCCCCGCTTCCGGCCGCGGCACCTGCCTCCCTATCCACAGGACCTAAGGTACTGTAGCTACCACACCAGGGCAGCTGCGGACCACCTGGGCAGGCGCAGTATGCCTGTACTACCTCCTAAAGGCACCTCCACCTGTGGACCCGATGTGCGCCAAAGTCCCTAGCCCACGACCGCACCTCAAAAGCCTGGCCTTTCCAGGTGCTTGTGGCGGAGAGGCTGCCCCGGCCAAGACACGCTAGCGAAACACCCCAGTACTTGCTCGGCGCGCTCACCCACCTCACGGGTCTGATCGAGATCGATCGTCCCAAGGAACGTCGATGCACACTGAACTCTACAAGATCGCCCCCTGCCAGCATCGAAAACGTTGGCGAGTTCGACTTTCCCCTTCCTCCTTCTGTCTCGCGAAACGGCCATAACCCCGTCGTTTGTATTCCCTGCAAGAAAAAAAAAGAACCCTGACTTGCCCTCGCCCTCGCTGTCTCCCCCCCCCCCCATTTATACCAACATAGGGCCCAGACCACCATACTTTGCCTGCGCGTCTGCTCTCCTCAACCTTCTTCTTCTGCCACTTCCGCCACCTCACCACACCACCAACCTTCTGGGTACCAGCCCACGATCAACAAACGAAGTATCTTAGTTAATTAGCAGACTGCTCAATACAGCACAATCGACAAATCATAATCCACAACTCCTCCTTCAGGTCACATCCCGCCGAGCTGCCCACACGGACCATTCTCGGCGTGCCATTGCTGTTTCCGAGCCACCCACGATCCGACGAGAGATCGATTGCTCGTACAAGAAAAGCCATAGATCCCAACAGTCGACGCATCACGTCACAGACTACTGCCCACGATGCCTAAGCGATCTCTCGACGCTAGCAGCACACCTGCAACGATGCCTCCTCCCGAGAAGTCTTCACAGCGAAAGGTACAGAAGCCCTGCCATGTCTGACGTTCCCGTCATCTCCCCCACCTGCTTGCCGCGCTTCACCCAATGCCAACATCGTTTTGGCCATTCCCAATCAGCCACTAACACCACAGTAGACGGAGCGATCCCACGAAGAGAACCAGGAGCGTGCCTACATTGCTGCCTCGAGGCGAGCCGACCGCAGCCTCGAAGCGAGGGTCAAGTCGGCACAGATGGCCAGCGAGATCCACAAGAAGCGAACCGGCAAAGGATTCAAGATTACGGAGCGAATCGTTCAGGCCGAAGAGATGTACGAGGAGGAGGAAGACGACATGCCCCGGTCCTACCGCATGCTCGCCGCGCACCTGCAAACCGGTTCGTCCGAGATGAACTATCGCGTCAACGCCTTTCTGGCCAACCGTGTTGCCATGGCCAGCATGGTGGCCGGACTTCGAAACGAAGACTGGCTGCAGAACCCCATCAACAAGATGTTCGCCGAGTCGTTTCCCGACGTCGGCAAGCAGGCCCAGGCCATGAACCACAGGCTCTCAAACCCCAACGACTCGGCCTACTATGGCCCCCTCGCTGGGCAGAGCGCCCAGCAGCCTCTGAGCCCCATGAGCCCCGCTGCCAGCATATCACCCAACTTTGGTTCTGTCGATTACCACGCGCCCAGCCCGTACCATGCGCCCACGCCGTCGCCCATGTCACCTCGTGACCTCAAGCACGAACAGGTTCGCTCTCCTGTCATGTCGCCAGGAGCCGCTGACCACATGTCTCCCGCACAACCGCACATGAACCCCTACGTTCAGCAAATGGGTCCCACTGATCCGCTGCTGTATGACGACTCGATCTTCACCTCGGAGCTTCCGCTTGACGCCAAGATGCTGGCTGGCCCGAGCCTAGATATGAGCGACCCCTTGGCTCACCTGTTCATGGCCGGAGACTCAGCTGCATCTTTCTATCCCGAGGACCCAGTCTTCACGAAGCCGGAGCAGCGGACACAGACCGCCAAGCCCATGATGTCTACGCAAGAGTACTACGGCGCGACGCCACAGAACCCTGGCTACCCAAGCTTTGACACGCAGCGGAGCACTGCCGGTACGCCGAGCGCTGGACTCGGAGACGACTGGAACGCCTTCATGGACTGGGACAACTGCGACGAGGCCATCCCCGAGTACCGCCCATAGCCTCTGACGGGACTGGAGCACATTGGATTCTGAGGAGCAAGCGATTGATTTTTATTACGAGCATGATGTACGACCAGGGATATACCCCACACACTTATTAGAGTCTGGTTGCATGGATGGTCGGATTTGAGGAAGGGCCACGGCGGGCACATCAAGGGCGCTTTTGGGCGTCTATTTTGGGGATTGGGATTTTATTGTTCAGGGTTGACGACACGACAACGTCCCTCCTCCGCTGTCTGGATATTATTCCACCTCGTCACGATATTTTTGATACCCGAAGAGGAGGGGATTTCTTTTCATTTCTACACGGCCAGAAGATGAGGTCGAGAAGGAACACACGAAAGGGACGTGTTATGCGAGGGATCAAGACGAATCATGCCAACGCAACATGGCTCGCAATATTTTCGGAGCCGCTTGGGCACGCCTATCCATTTAGTAGAGTGAGGAAGAGAAACCCTGTCGAGATAGGACCAAAAAAAGTCATAAAAACACTGAAGCCTGCCTCCAAAAGTGATGTCGGTGGTTTATCCTCAAGGTGTTGCGACGCTGAACACTATTCATCTCAGCGATTCGGCCGTCATCACGTCTTGGCCAGTCCAGGTGATCTACCTGAAGCCTGGTCCTCGTTCACGACCCTCGAACCACTCACTTCACGTGTCGCCGTAGCTGCATATGCAGCCTTCAGCTGTGGCTGACCCACGCAAAGGGCACCAGGTAAGCGCCCGGCAAAGCTCGCCATCTGCTGAACCGTCAAGCGTAGCGAGGCCATGGCATCACTCTCACGGCTCCCGTCCGCGGCTGGCGTCATCGTCATTCTTCAAGAGACCCCCCCCCCCCCAAAGAACAAAGCCTCCCCTCCGAGGAAATGGCAGAGTTCGCCCTCGCGACGAGCATCCTCAGCACCATCGCCTTTGCGCTGCAGCTGTGGACCGACTCGGCCGAGATTCGGAAGAGCGGCTCGAGCATCTCCACGGCCGACTGCACGCGGCAGGCCGAAAGCCTCAAAACCCACTGCGACAGAGTCAAACTGCTGCAGGACTCGGAAGCCGAGCTCGACGAAGCGGTAAGCCCCACCGCGTGCGACGCAGACACGTCTCACGTGCCTGATCCACTGCTGACCGGCATTGCTCCAAGGCCAGGATCAGGACCATCGCGACCGAGATTCATGAGTTTGGAGACGAGCTGTCGACGCGGCTCGCCAGGTGCGCGCTGCCGCCGGGCGCGGGCGGCTGGAGGCGGTATCGCGATGTCATTGCCGTGCTCTGGCGCGGGATGCGCATGGATGCCGACGCGCAGATGAGACGGCTCGTCGCGCTGCGGAATGAGCTCCAGTCGGAGCTCCTCGTGTCGATGCTGCGCAAGGTCAGCGTCGAGGACCTGCAGCGCAAGGCGGCCTTTCGGCGCCTCGACGACGATGTCAAGGCGCTGACGCTGGGTCACCTGCAGGGCCTCGAGGCTGTCCTGACGAAGGTGGATTCCCTCGCCGTTGCGGAGGAGCAGAGACATCAGGAGATCATGGCTGAGCTTCGCAGGTGGGATCCGCTCAGCGCCCATGCCCGTCCCGCTGTGCCTCCTGACCACGACCTCGTCTGGAAGAAGGATATGGTCACGGAGCTGAAGAACAGGTTGTGGTACGGCTCGATCCCGCGGCGCCACGATGCCATTGCCACGGCTCATGAGAAGACGTTTGAATGGATCTTCACTGGGCAGAAGAAGACGCACCAGTCCAACACCACGCTCATGGAGTGGATGACCGGGGGCACCGGTCCGTACTGGGTCAGCGGGCGTGCCGGCACCGGCAAGAGCTCGCTCATGCGCTTCCTCAACGATGATGAGCGAACCAGAGAGGCGTTTCAGACGTGGGCGGGCGATCGCCCTCTCGGCCTCGCGTCTTTCTACTTTTGGAATTCCGAAGCTGCCGGTGACGATCGCCTGAAGTCGCTGACAGGCCTCTATCGTGCGATTTTGTTCACCCTCATCGAACAGCACCCCAGTCTTGCTGACGTGTTCTTCCCTGATCACTTGGTCAAGGGGAGACGATGGGACACGGACTTCCCGACCTTTATTGACATGGCGCAGGGGTTCGAGCGATTCTCGACGGCGAGCGAACTGCCTGTAGCCGTGGGGCTCATCATCGATGGGTTGGATGAGTATGAGGCACCGCACAGCAAGCAAGTCGAGGCCGCTGCCATGCTGCGCCGTTCCAGCGAATCGCCGAACATTAAAGTCATCGTCTCCAGCAGACCAGAAGCTGCCTTTGAGACGGCTTTCAGGGATTCCACAAAGCTCCGTCTGCACGAACTCACCGAGGAAGATCGCCGAACCTATGTACACGACAAGCTCACGGCCGTACCACGACTCCACAGCATAACGACCAAGGAGCAGCAGCTGGAGCTGATAGATCTTGTTGTTGAGAGATCTGAAGGTATATTCCTCTGGGTGAATCTCACCGTGGCAACCCTGGTAGAGGAGATTGAGTTGGCCATGGATATCTCGCGGCTGCTGAGGGTGACCAGCGACATTCCTGGAGGCAACAAGGAGCTTGGCGCCATCTTTGATCACATGTTGCGAAATCGAATCCCGGAAAAACACAGGACCCTCGGCCTCCAACTCATCCAGACCCTGAAGTACGGGTACACTCTGCCTTCGAAACTCATTCCGTGGGTGGAAGGGGAAAGGGTCAGACACCCCATCACCGCAATCTTGTGCTCCTTTTTCGAGGATGACTTGCAAACGACACTTGAAATTCCCGTAAAGCCACTGACAGTAGCCCAAGCTGCTTCCAGAACCGAGATGGCCATCAACATGGTCCGACAGTCCTGTGCTGGCTTGCTGGAATTCAGGGAGTATGAGAGCGAGGCCTTGATAGCGGAACAGCCATCTGTCAAGGCCATGGAGCTTCATTATTTGCACAAAGACGTCTCCATATATCTCGAGACAGCAGATACGGCCAAAATCTTTGAAGACTCGCTCTCGGGTACCCATGGAGACATCCAGGTGAACCTACTCAAGTGCATAGTCAGCTTCATCAGGACCATCTCTGTGGAGGATCCAGCAATCGTCTCTTGGGCAGAATCCTGGACGCTCAATTCGGCATTCTGGCAACTCGTCGAGTACTGCATGCGGCTGGCTCGGGACACCGAAGAGAGGAACCCTGAACAGACCGAATCTCTTCTGGATGCTATGGATCAAGCAGTAAACCAACACTGGCAGCCAGACGGGTTCCTCGTCCCTCTGTCACTTGTCGACTCTGCGTACTGGACGAATCACTTCCCGGTTGACCGCCACTACACTGGAATGAGAGTCAACGAGGTGGATGTCCAGATCTTGACTTTTCTTTCGTTTACCGTCCAACAAGACCTGTTCTTCTACCTGCAGTCCAAGCTGCGACGTCTGGGGCCAGCAGTGCTGCAGGTGCCTGGGAGGCCACTGCTGCACATTGCCTGCGGCACTGATCCAACCTGGTGGCTCTTGCGAGGCAGACGCCCGGCCAGGGTAGTGAAACTCCTTCTCGACCACGGAGCTGACCCTCATGAGGTCTTTGACGGCCAGACGGCCTGGCAGGTTGCGCTCGATGTGACGCGGCGCTCCGCCACGACTTCCTTCCTCGAGCGCAAAGAGATCGGAGAGGTTCTTCTCGCACTAGTCTATGCGGGTGCTGATATACACGCCGTCATCCGCTGGACGGAGAGGCGCAAGATCAGCAAGCGGAACTGGGTCACGGACGAGTTCTCTCGACCCGCAACCCAGCAGATCAGGCTCACCTTCATGGACGGGGAACTCAAGGAGCCAGGTCAATATTGTGACAAGTCTATCGGCGGGACACTGTCCGCAAACGAGGAGCAGATTTTGAAGGAGCTCGGGAGGAAGATCCTGGCGACCATGGCGGAGAAGCGTACGTGGAACATGGCTCTGAGACACAACATCAGGGACACCAAGGCGCGGGTGACTCACGGGGTTCAGAAGCGAGTAATGGCATTGGGCGCGGCATTTTTTAGATGATTCTATATTGCATGCATGCGAGTTCTATTCCGCTTCGAGATCGATGCTTGTTGCCAGTTGCCATTGAATCGCGCCCTCGATTGAGCCGGCGGCGCAATGGAAGTGCATAAGTTGACAACCCCTTTATGGGTAGCAACAGTATTCTGTCATGTCTCAGGAGACTTTGGGTCTGGTGTATCTGAGGGACGGATTTACGATATTGACACTGGACATACTCTTCAAGATCTTTCTAAACGGTGTTCTCTCCGACAAGATTTCTAGATGAGAAAGGCACCACTTTCTCGGCAGTCTCTTTCTCGCCCTTTTGAACCAGCTCGAGAAAACTTCTCTTACAGAGAGAAGAGCTTGTGGTTTCGTCTTGTCTTACGTTCAGCAGCCAAATCTCTCCCCATCGAAACCCTGTAAGAAACTTAACCACCACAGGCTCACGTGGAGCAATGTGCTCAGGGAAATATTCTGGATCAACCCCGGGACCACACGCTAAGCCCAAGGAGGGCCTACGTGGTGCCGAAACCTCGCATCTCAGCCGCAGCTGAAAACACCTTGGATTGGATGCAAGAGTTTGTACATAATGCACGTAAAATCCCGATGATCCTGTCTCTCTGAATTGCGCATCAAGATTCTTCGCCTACCGACTGGAGCTGGACGTTCTTTGTTCCTCATCTGGATCTACTTTCACGCGCCAACCTCTGCCCGCTTGCGGTCCGCTCCCGCGCGCCGCCATGGGGTCGTGTTTTAGCAAGGAGGCTAAAGAGAGCGGGAACGACGGCGCAGATCTCGATCGCCCAGCTCGGCTTCCCCAGGAAAAGGTTGTTCCTGTCCAGCCAACGACCGGCAACGACCATGAACAGCCTCAGGTTACAGCCGATACTGCGGCGCAAGCGCTCACCACAGCATGTGAAGATCCCAACGCGACAGCGGCTGCCACGGCACCGCTGGAGCTTGTCTTTTGCCGGTTCGAGTCTGGCCGCATTGTGAGGAAGAAGCGATTCCTCTCAGAGCCATTCATCGCCGTCTCGCACGTTTGGGGCCCCGATGCCGACTGGGCCAAGGTGGACGGCGTCGATGAGGAGGTTATCGTATCGCCAGAGAAGGCCCTCTTCGTGCAGACGCAGCTACCCGGTCTGATGGGCGACTCCTGGTTCTGGATGGACGTGCTCTGTGTGGATCAGCGCGACGCTGATGCCCGTGTCGCCGTCACGCAGCACATCCCGGCGGTGTTCCGCGCGGCGCAGAAGAGTCTCGTCGTGCGAGAGAGCGCGAGCTTCCGCGTGTGCTGCGCCCAGGCGGCCGGGCCCTCCCATGCGTTCCTGGGCAAGACGAGATACGGCAGAAGACCAGACGACCAATCGTCGGATATCGACTTTACCGACGAGGAGCTGGACGGCCGAGGGAAGCTGCGCAAGCACATCGAGCAGAGCCACAAGGGAGAGTACATGGACGACGGCGTCCTCTCGCGACTCTGGCCGCTCCAGGAAGTCATCCTGTCCGACACGGTCCAGTTTGCCAAGTGCGAGCCTGTGCCGGGCGACGACTTCAAGGGCCACAGCCCCTCGCGGCCGGCGCCGTCCATGGACAAAGCCCTCACGCTCGTCGGCAGCCTCGGCATCCTGGCGCAGACGTGGGACACGTACGCGCTCGACGACGACAGCACCATGTGGCACCGCCTCGGCACGGGCAAGTGGTCCTTCTTCGACGCCTACTTCGGCCTCGGCGAAGCGACGCGCGCCCACAGCGGCAAGGTCTCGCCGGCGGTGCCGCGCGCGCGCGACCTCGGGCTGCACCTCGTCAGCACGCGGCAGACGTCCAAGGGCCGCGACTTCATCCTCGCCATCATGCCGCAGTACCGCTTCTACAGGGTGCCGCCGACGGCGCGCAAGATGTCCTTTTCGGACCTCTTCCTCGACTGCTGCCGCCAGCTGCGCAGCCACGACGCCGGCATCGCGCCGTTCCTCATGGACTCGGAGAGCCCGCTCGACGGCCACGTCGGCACCCTGAGCTGCGGCGTGCCCGAGCCCGTCTGCCTCGGCGACCTCGCCAAGCTTTTCAACGGACCCGTGCAGCGCGCGCCGGAGCGCAGCGTCGTCGAGCTGCTGACGCTGCAGCCGCAGCCGGCGCCGACGGCCGTGGCGAAGCGGCAGGCGCTCGAACTCCTGCGCAGCGTGCCGGACGCGACGCCCGAGGATGCCGTCACGGCCCTCGCCGTCAGCATGACGCACATGATTGTCATTTCCATCTTTGCGAGCAAGACGCTGTGGCTGACGTCGCAGGCCGAGCTGATGCATGAGATTGCGCGCCTGCAGGCGCAGGAGGACAGGGAGGATTCGGACTCGGAGGACGGCCACGACGGGGGCGTCAGCGAGACGTTGCAGAGGCGGCTCGTGTTGGAGGCCCTGCTGCGGACGATCAGCTGGATCGACTGGAACGAGGGCTCGCGGGCCAACGCAGAGGCCATGACGGGGCAAACGGCCATCATCTTCAGGCTGAAGGATGCGCCGTGGGAGATGTCGGCCATGCTCGTGGGCATGGTGAGCTGCGGCATGCCGCTGAGCGCGTATGAGTGGGCGAGGGAGCACCTCGCCGTGGTGCACGTGAACGTGTTCCAGAGATCCTTCATGGCGCTGGCGCCGCAAAAGGTCATGAAGCCGGACACCATGTTCTTCATGAGGCAGGTGGACGACTATGCCATGGGACGTGACGGGGCCATGCCGAGGTTCACGTTGATGGCGATGGATGCCGACAGCGACATTTATATGAATCAGTGCATGTTCCCTCCGGATCTCGCCTTGTCAAATGGATGAGGGTGGGGGTAGTCCTTTGGTTTCTACGCAGCGAGTCAGCAATTATTGAGTTGCAGCTTTTCCATCGCATCTAGCGACCAGACTTGGTATTGAGCAAGGGATCATGCCATAATGTTGTCTTTGCAGAAATATAGACGACCTTTTTACCATTGATCTGCGCACTCTGAGTGTCAGGAGACCCCTGGGGAGCCATATATAGAGGGCTAGTTAGGGGCTAAGGGTTACGAAAACGTATAAAAGGAGCCGTGGAGGGCCAGAGTTCAGACGTATTCCGGCCTCTGACCTAGGTATATTCTATTGCCTGCGGATTACGTATAAAAGACCTCTTCACTCTGCTCTATCCCAAGCACTGACACTGAGTTAGTGAGTTGTGGCAATCCTTGTGTAAACTGTGAAACTCGTGCTAGTCAGTTTCGCACCTTGTATAAGCCTAAAACCACTATCATTCACTAGTCAAGTCCCGTGATCATCATTCACCCAGTCAGTCCCGTGATAGCCTCGCAACTCTATTGTGTGAATTGTGGCAACACTATCATAGCTCATCTCAACACAACAACCGCGACGCGTCAGCCTGGCGCACCTGCCTCCCCACGCCCTCATCTACATTCACCGAAACCGCCTCTCGCTCAAGGCAAGCATGCATATATGAACCCTTCCACGCCGCGGTCTGATAGTCCTGCCCGCTTCTGCTTTTCTCAACCGCACAACCCCGACGCAGCCATCGCCGCGACGACCAAAGGCGCTGCAACCGCAACGGCAACCGCATTCGGCCGAGATCAACAGAATACACACAAGTCAGCGGGCTTGATCGACTGTGTGCTAAGATTAAAAAGCTAGCTCTGGCGGCCTGAGTTTCCGCTAAGTACTGACTTGGTGGGTGACCTCAATGCCATGCAAACCCATCTCCAACGACCAGAGGACCTCGCCATAGGCACCCAGTCGTGGAGAATGTGTATGCACATCTGGACACGGCTGACACAATGTAGGAACCCCTTCACCGACACCATGCCCGTTCCCATGACGGGCGCTGCTGGAGGAATGGGCCCCCCCTCGCACATGGCAATCGACCGCCCGCCTGCCCCCGACGAGATCCCCGAGAGGTTCAAGTTCCCCCGCAAGGACATGAGATGGGAGCCTCCCGCCTTCGTCAAAGACTTGCCCCTGACGGAGAAGAACTTTTGCACAAAGGTCACCGACATCATCTGCCAGGCTGTCGGTCTCGAGTTTTTTGACCGTCTTGCCTGCGCCTGGGCCATCATCCACCACATGGTCGACGTCAGCTATGAGAAGCTCGTCTCGAAGCTCATCATTCACCTGGCCGCCTCGCTTGATCTCACCTATGATGACGGCATCCATCATCGACTTGCAGAGTTGATGAAGGAGATTCGTAGGCCGCGCTACGTTGAGCTCCAGTCCAACGGCGAGGTAAGCACTCTTCTTCCCATACATCGGCCCGCTTGCCTGAGTCGAGCTAATCGTCTTTGCTTTTGGTGTAGCGGCCCGTGCAGGAAATGCTCGGATCGCAGGTTGAGCTCATCGACTTGGCCGGTATCATGGCTTTCAACATCCACGGTGAGCTCTTCCCAGGCTCTTGCCAAGAGACACCACACCCCGCCCTTGAGCACCAAGACACTGACAAGAGACAGAGCGCCAGCTCCGCATGCATGCCGAGGAGGTCGACGCGCAGTACGGATACGTCAATCTGTGCACATTCGCCGGAATGCTCGTGACCAACGGCGCCATCGACCGCTGCGACGTTGCCATCCACATCATGATGCGCACCCTGGAGACCCTCCGCCTGACGGAATAGGACATCGTCGGCGTCAGTCGCTTCATGATTCTTACGGGCAACGCCATTTACCTGCAGATCGTGGCCCCCGTGCACTACGTCACGAGCCCCATCATGAACAGGCTGCATGTCGGTCCGCTCTGGAAAGGCCCGCTCGGTTTCTCGGCCTGCCGCTGGACCTTCTGGTACCAGCGCCTCGGACACGCCCTGGGGTCGGCCAAGCTACCCATGGCCGTGCTCTGGGGCAGGCTGGGCCACCATCACATGCAGGACATTGAGAACACCTTCAGGCGCCAGCAACCCACGCCCAGCTACATTGCTGCACGTGCGGCCGCGAATGGCGCGTCCGCCAACCATCAGGGGCAGCCCCAGTTGGTCGGAGCCGAGTCTGCTCTGCGCCTCCGTATCAGCCAGCTCGAAAGCACTCTGGCGCAAGAAAAGTCGTTCCGCGCCGATGAGGTGCGGTACTACATGCACCAGCTGACCAACGAGAAGACTCGGACCGTCAAGGACAATCCCATTTACCGCCACCACAATGCCGTCACCGAGCTCATCGCCGGCGCCGGATGGGAGGTGGATCCGCACATGAACGCCAAAGGCCTGGAGAACAACCTGATCAAGCTTGTGAGCCTGACAGGCCACTACAAGACCATGATTCTGGATAAGCAGCACCACGAAACCATCAAGAACCGCGTGCAGTACTACAAAGGCCAGGCGACCGCTTTCGAAATCCTGCAGCCCTCGCTGCGTTGGCCATCGGATCCCGCTTCGCAAGCCAATCGAGCGACGCGCGTTGCCAGGGTCATGGAAGCTCTCCCCGACGAGAGCCTGCTGCCGAAGCCGCTGCTGCAGCGCTACCGCGATATCCTCAACCGCGAGCGTGGCGTCATCGACATGATTCAGGCCTTCATCGACGAACAGACTGCCGAGCGAGCCAAACGGCACGAGAGCTGGCAGCAGCAACTCGGCGTGCCCATTACCCATCCCACGTCGTCGGCCGCCCGCCCAGTCTCGGGCCCCAGGACGCGGAATCCTCTCGACAACCTGACGGCGCTCAAGATGCAGCAGGACATGGCCGAGGACAGGGTCATGCTCTACAACGACCTCTTCAAGCGCCACGAGTTTCTGTGCCAGCGCGATCAGCACACAGCCCTCATCCTGCTGCGCCTTCCCGAGGTGCTCCAGATCAGCGGCCGCACCTTTTCGCTGAGCGCCCTCTTGGAGGGCATTCCCAAGCGCGAAGACCTGCCCGCCTGCACCCTCGGCATGGGCTGCACGCTGGGACAGACGCACTGCGAGATGCAATTCCGAGCTCTTCCAGGCCAGCTCAGCAACCCCATCGACGGCCACCTCAACCCAGCTGCTGGCGTCTTTGTTCCGGGCTCGGGAGCTGTGCGTGGTGCTGGTGCTGGTGCTGGTGCTGGTGCTGGTGCCGGTGCTGCCGATTCGAACGCCAATGTTGCCACCAACAGTGGCGCAGGTCCTGCCTCTGCGTCGACCAGGCGCCAGCACCCTGAAGATTCTGAGCAGGACCAGGAACCGAATAAGAGGGTTCGGCTCGCCAAAGAGTGATCAGGATGCCGGATGCTTGTTCTGTGTTGCCAACTCGGGCAAGGTGGCAGAAGCGCGTGGAAGTGCGCGCGGACATGGTATTGATGAAGACAAGGGGTCATTACGGGAGATGTCTGGTGCGGCTCGGTGGATGTGTTGATCGGATCGTTGCACGAGGCATGGCAGAGGTTGCTAAGTGACGAGCCCTTCGTTTGGATGGTCGTCGGGATCGAGGTTTGCTTGGCAGGTATGGCTCGAATTGGGCCTTTGGAGTGCAATGCACTGATAGTTTTGCCGTTGTGTGATCCAGAAGAAATGAGATGGCCGTAGCCGAAAGAAACGCATGGAGAATATGCCGTGATGGTGAAGTGTCAAGTTGCATGTATCCAGGTACCTACCTAGGTAGGTAGGTACCTAAGTACCTAAGTACCTAGCGAAAGGTCTAGGCAAGTGATCGTGCTGTGTGACCAGATCTCGATCACCAGGAGCCAAGGCAGGGGCGGGGCAGGGCAGAGGCAGAGGCAGGTGCAGTGCAGGTGCGGTTCAGGTGCTGCAGGAGCGATTGGCAGAGGTGCGACGGCGATGCCGTTGCCGTCAATTTACGGCTGTGGCGCAGCTCTCTCGTTCTTCTGCCTTCTGCCTTCTGCCTTCTGCCTTCTGCCTTCTGCATATCCCAATGCCATGCCGGGCCATCAAGAGTCGTTGGCTCCTCTCTACCAAGAGCTGACATTGCTCCCAGACTCCTTGCCAGAGGTTCGTCATGAAAGCCTTCGCTGCTGGCAGCCTGGCACACATCATCGTTCATCGGCCACTGTCCTCGTTCTGTTCTGACCCCATACAGGGCACTGGCCACATGTCTCGGACACCCAACCATGCGTGGCTTGGCTCAAGGCTGCCCCTCCGTCTTGGGCTGCCTTGGGAGCAAGACGGAGGGGCAGCCTTGGGAGCTTGGTGGAGGGGGGGGCCACCTGAGCTTGGCCTCTCTCAGCTGACGATGGCGGTCATCTCCTCTGGTCAACCTGCCCTGAAATACCTGGCGTGACGCGCCTCATGGGACTCTCTTTCGACTGCACCTGTTTGAGGTGCCTCCAGTCTTTCCACCGATAGTCATAAAGCCTCGCACCATGGTTCTCGGTCCCTTCTCCCCCAGCGCCATCCTGACGCGCCTGTGGACGCGACACCAACGCCACGAAGAAGCACGATCACAGCGAACGCGAGAGAGGATGGGTTCGACCAAGTTCTTCGGCTCCCAGGTCGGCGGCCAGACCGTCATCAACTATGCCTACACCGATCTCCCGTCGAGATTGATGACCTGGGACATCTACTACTTCTTCTACTACTCCTGGGCCCTGCCGTGGATCGTCCTGCCCCTGACGCCCTCGGACTCGGGCGATCTCGACGAACTGGCCGTGACGCCGCAGAACATCTTTTGCATTGCGCTGCACTTGATCCTGTTCATCCTGCAGCTTGTCTTTGTCCTGTCTCTGCCCGCGGCTCTCTTCTTCCCCATCTGGATGGCCGTCGCCTGCTGGGGGGCTTTCCTCGTCTTCAACTGGGCCTTTTGCCTGCTTCTGAACGGCCCCGACATTGAGTACCACTCTGACGAGAAGTTTGCCGAGGCCCGTCCCGAGCACGCACACGAGCAATGGGTGTTTCTCAACGGCGTGGCTGTCGGGTAGGTTTTTTTTCTATTCTTTTCTATTCTTTTTTTTCCGCTTCTTTTCTTTTCTTTTTTTTTTTTCTCTAGCATTTTCCCCCTTTGCTGTAAACTTGCACGCAACGGGCTGACTGAAGTAGCGACCACTGGATGAAGAACAATCTCAATCGACTGGCGTTGACCTTCCAACGTCCCATCCTCGGCATCCACAACCAGACGTCCGGCATCATCTTTGACGTCTTCGAGTGCCTCATCCAACGCAATTTTGGCTACGCCACGTATGACGTGCGCATGGCCTACCGCATCCTCAAGGACAAGCTGTACGACCCGCAGTATTCCAAGGTCATCTTCATCCTGCACTCGCAGGGCGGCATCGAAGGCGGACTCGTGCTCGATTGGCTGCTGCAAGAGCTGCCCCAGGACCTGCTGTCCAAGATTGAGGTCTACACCTTTGGCAACGCCGCCAACCACTTCAACAACCCGCACCGTCACGTCTTTTCCCAGGCTCTCGCCCAGCAGGACCCGGCTGCCGCCGTGACCATGACGACGACCGAGACGACGCAGCCGACGCCCGAAAGCAGCCCCATCTCGCCGCTGACGAAGGCTCCCTCGTTCGACCGCCGCTCGACAAGGTCCCGCCTAGGCGACATGGCAAACGGCAAGGCCATGACGAACGGCGGGTCCAGGACCAACAGCGAGTCCAAGACCAACGGCACGCCCGAGACAAACGGCGCGCCCAAGACAAACGGCGAGCCCAAGACGGACGTCTCGTCGACGCCACGTTCGAGCGGCCCACCGAGCCTGCGTAAAGACGTCTCATCCCTGACGTCAACGCGCACATCGACCGCCGCGCAGGACCGCGCCCTCGGCCACGTCGAACACTACGCGCACACGACCGACTTTGTGGCGCTCTGGGGCGTGCTGCATTTCTGCACCTCGCTCGCCGCGAACCGCACGATGCCCCGCTACATCGGCCGGCTGTTCGTCCGCGCGTCGGAGCGAGGCGGCCACCAGTTCTGCCAGCACTACCTCGACGGCATGTTTCCGCTTGAGAGAGACCCCGTGACGAACAAACTGACGCGGTGCGCCGAGGAAAACGAGTTTATGGAGAGCGAAGTACAGGTCGGTACCGAGGGCGCGGCGGGGCAGAACGCCCGGGAGGCCTTTGAGATCTCGTGGCTCGGTGACACGGGGTTCGGCAGCGGCGAGGTCGGAGAGCAGGTCGAGGTGCACGGAGATCAGGTCGGCAGGCACCGGCGTAAGGGCGTCGTCAAGGTCAAGGATCTTTCGCGGCTGTGGATGTACCGCAACGGCATGTCACCGCCCGACGGGCCACCGCTGCTGATCCGCGAGAACGGCATCATACGGAACGCGACCATGTAGGCACGAAGAGGACTTTTACAGCGCCAACATGCGACATGCAATACGCTACACTCGACACTCAACGCGCAACCGCGGACTCCACATCCTGCTCACCGCACCCTCCCCCTCCAGGTAAAGTGTTCCTTCGGCGCCTTTGCCAGCTCCCTCATGGCCGCGACGTCTGCAGCATGAGGCCCCTCCTCGCGCAACCCGCACTCCAACGCCAGTCGCGCATGCCTCACAGCGAGACCCTGCTTCCCGAAAAGGCTGTAATTCAGCGCCGCCGTCGTGTACGCCCCCGCCATCTTGCCCTCGAGCCCTTCCTCCTTCATCAGCTCCAGGTATCGCTCAATATCCCCCATCGTCACCTTTGCCGCCACATCACCAAGCCTCGCCTCGAGCGCCTTGATCTCCGCAACCCTAGCATCACTCTCGTCACCAGCAGCACACCGACGACAGCCACACTCGAAGCCCCAAGACCCCGCCATTCGCGCCCTCCTCTCGGCGCGCGGCGCCAGCGCGTCGACGTACGAGATGCTAATCTCCTCCCCGGCCGCAATGTCCTTCGAAGCGAACGCCCGGTGCACAAGGCCCGTCTTGTCCGTCCAGGCCGCGGCATTTGGCCCACAGTCGTGATTGAGCCGTGAAATGGCCGGAAACACGCCGAAATGGTGATGATGCCCGCCCGCCACGTCGCCGCCGACGTCGACCTGGAAGGCGTTCGTCGCGACGATGCCGCGCACCGAGCCGCCCATCTGGCGCAGCAGGGCACGGCGCGCGGCCGCCGGCAGCAGGGCGGGGATCTGGTCGTAGAGGACGGCGGCGTCGGCGGGGGGCCGCTCGAAGAAGGCGCGGTGGACGAGGAGCACGGGCGGCGAGGCGATGAGCGGGGTGCCCGCGGGGATGGGCGCTTGCGCGACGAGGCCGACGCCCTTGCCCGGCATGTCGACGGCTGCGAAGAGGGATTCCGGGAGCGGCGCAGGGGGCGGCGCGGCGGCGAGCGTGTGCTTGAGGTGCGCGAGGGCCGGGGCTGTGGTCAGCAGGACGATGCCGCGGGAGTGGGCGTAGCCGCGGTTGTGATAGAGGCAGTAGGGGCCTATGCACTGTGTGCCGCCGCGCCATTCGTATGGATGTGATGTTATATTTTGGGGAGGTGCTTGTGCGACGGGCGGAGCGTGAGATGCTGCTGGTGGTGGCGGCCAGCGTTGGCAGGCTGGATTTGTGAGAAGTGGTGTTGAAGGACACGCATCCACGACAGGATGGATCCTCCAAGCCTGCTGTGTCAATAGAGTCGCATCTGCTGACACGAGCCCTGCGGCAAGTGCACTAGTGAATGCGACGAAGCCTTTCATTCTAAATGACGAGCGCCACGCGGTGTGTCGTTGAAGTACAGACGAGTTGACAGCGGAAGCTTGAGATGAGCAAGATGGGATGAAGGGCATTCAAGTAGTCGCCAGACTCTGCTGCATACATAGCAATGGGCCAACGCAGCTAAAACACTGCAGCAAGTCTTGCAAGTCTTGGATGCGGCATTGGTCGCCTCCTTGAAACAAACACGGACGTCGATCGTGAACAGGGGCCGTCGCTGACCGAAAACCCGGCTCGGTGTAATTCGGTAAGACCTACTTGATCTCGAGATGCCATTACGATTCCTACGACAGTTCAGAGATGTGAGCTATCCGGCTCACACCGTCTCCTGGGAAGACTCTTTTGCTGGCGGCTTTTCCCAAGCAGATTTATCTGAGCCAGTGTCTTCCCCGGTCCTTTCTTTCGCATCCTTTACCTCCTCTTGCTCTGGCGCCTCGCCCGTCTCGTAGCCCAGTGGTCTCGCGAAGCTGAACCACCGTAGCAACGTGGGCACATACGCCCGTACCATCAGGAACTGCAAAACATACCTCATCATCTGCAGGACGAACACGCAAATGTCCCTCATCCACTCGTTGAGGTCCGTCCGCAGCATGATGCCCACATTCTTCCACACGGCCCTCTCATCCGCCACCTGATCAGCCGTCAGCCGCAGGTCCGCCCTCTCGACCCGCTGCCGCAAAAGACTGTAGTAGCCCTGCGCCACCTCGCCCAGCACGGCCTCGAGCGCCCTCCTGTTCCGCGGGTGCCAGGCCTGCGCCGCCCGCGCGAGCGCGTTGCCCCGCCGCCGCAGCAGGTGGTTGACGGCCGCGGCCGGCGGATACGCGAACAGCCCGTCGAGACACTGCCCGGCCACGACGAACGGGGCGCCCTCGACGACGGCGCCGCGCCGGTGCAGCGACGCCGGCCGCTTGAACTCGGCCACCGAGTAGCCGCACTCGAGGACCCGCGGGTCCGCCGGGCGGAAGAACAGCACCTGCATGGCCGTGAAGACGTTCTTCGTCCCGCCGTCCGTGTACGAGACGTAGAAGCTCGTGCCCATGTCGTCGTCGTCGTCGTCGCGCACGGGCTCGGCCGTCGCGTTCGCCGGCGTCACGCGCGGCTGGTCGAGCCAGCGGCTAAAGTCCACCAGGCTTCCGATGCGGTGCAGCGCGAACGGGTCCGACGGCAGCTTCAGGTCGCGGAAGAGATAGCGCGTCGTGACGTCGTAGCAGTTTGTCGTGACGTTGTTGGAGTACATCAGACCCTCGAGGTCGCGTGGCGCGAGGTACGAGGGGAGGCCTAGGCGAGTTGTGTTGAGCTCCGAGAAGAAGGTGGTCGTGGCGAAGCCGAGGCCCTCGGTGGCTGTTGTCTTGAAGAGGTTCTGGCCAAGGCGGAAGGGCTTGTCGTCTACCTGTTCCACGTCTCTGGTGATCTCGCCGTGTCTCGAGCCCGGGCGGTGCCGTGGTGACGACGAGTATCGCTGGCGTATTTTCTCCGTGCTTGTCTCGAGGAGAGCGTCGAGTTCGTCGAGCTGGTCGGCCGCAAGGTAGAGGGCGCTGTTCCGGAGAAAGGTCGGTACAGGTTGGCCCTCGACTCCATATTCCGGTTCCGCCGCACGGTGAGGATTGGCGATCCTCTCCTGCGTCAAACCGTAGTAGAAGGTTTCATTGAGGACGGAGAGGGGATATGAAGGCCCCAGGGGCACGATAGTCCCTCCCCAGGGCAGCCCAATGGTCGCCACGATGACGGCGATGATCGTCAGTGCAACGGGAGCAAGCAGTGCCTTCCTCTTCGCTGGGCTCTGTCGCTGCCAGGCGGGCCATCGTGAACGAAAGATGGGACGGAGCCGCAATCCTTGGCTCAAGGCGTGGGCTTCAGACAACAGGAGAAACTCTTCGCAGGTCCTCGCCATGCGGACCAGGAGATAGAAATACGCCAGGCCAAACAGGCAGCACATGACAACCCACAAGACCGGGTCGATGTGCTGCCAGTCCGACCCCATGGTGTGGTATCCGCCGGTCACCTCATGCTCCCTTCTTGCGGTGGCCGCGCGGAGGACGGTGAGAGATTTGGTCAGCAGCGGCACGGCGTCGATGGCGTAGAGGCCAATCTGGCACTGGCAAAGGAACCACGTATAGCCCATTTGATTTCGCTATCGCACACTCATGAAGCGGAGACCAAGGAATATGTCGCTACATCCGGTCGAGAGAACGAGGAGCATCAGCTTTTTCTCCTGGTTCGCTGCTAGTGGAAGTGGTTGACTTTATCGGCAGCGAGGTGCCGGAAGGATAGTTCTCACGGCACGGCAGCAAGGTGCCGGATTGCTCAGGTGCAGCTTGGCGACGAAGCGAAATTGGCCTCAACTGAAGGCGCAGCAGCTTGTGATCTCGGTAGGCTCGGTGCATGATTCTTGTATTTCGATCAGAAGTCCAGGCATGTCAGCCCCTACTCAATGCATCTCGCCTTTTGCTCGTTGACATTCAAATCGTTTTGAGTATCAAAACCCATGTAGAATGCTCTGCTGTTGGAACAACGTCGGACGCGCTACGCCGTGACGACGCCGTACCAGGTTAGCCCGAACACGGCACCCATGACGATGACAACGGGCGGATTCACGCCGAAAGAATACCCAAAGACAAAACTCGACGCCGTGACGACCACCCACCACGGTTCCTGCGCCAAGCTCGTTCCCTGCTGGAAGTCTTGGTCAATGTAGCCAATCTGCCACAACCTGTAGACGGCTGTGTATATGAGCCCGACGGCACCGGCATTGACACCTCTCAGCAGCGACTTGACCCATCTCAGACCACGGATGGCGCTCCAAATGCCCATCGTTCCGTGTACGGTGATAAGGCCTGGGGCAAATATGCCGATGTAACCAAGCACCGCGCCGGCGGCCGAGTTGTATCCTCCGTTGATTGCCGTCAGTGCGCCGAGGTAGACGGCGAAGTTGAAGTTGGGGCCCGGAAAGCTCTGCTGGATGGCGAGGCCAATGAGGAAATCGCGGGGGCTGACCCAGCCTTCGGCGACAACGTACTCTCGCAAAAGAGGGATAACCACGGGACCTCCGCCAAAGATGATCGTTCCGGCGAGGTACATGTTGGCGAAGAAGCTGTAGAGAAGCGGTTTCGTGGGCAGCACGCCGCGGAGGACCATGACCACCGTGAACGTGATGAGAAAGAAGACAATGATTGCAAGACCGACGGCCCAGGAGAAGTCCAGAACACGCTCTGTCGGAACCACCCTGGGCTCTGTCTCGGCTTCGGAGCGTTGGTTCTCGGTAATGGGGAGGGTACTGGCCGCATCGTTGCGGCTCGGTGGCGCCTCGTGCTCCCGCGAGACAGCGTCACTTCTATCGTCCCGTTGCGATTCCGGTAATTCCATGGACTCATTCTCTGGGGCGCGGCTCTTTTGTCGCGGATTTTTGACCAGATCCAGCACACCTTTGGCGAGGGGGTGGAGCCAGCGAAAGTCGTGAACAACCGTAACGACACCTGCCACAAACATCAGGAGGGGGAAATACCACAAGGCGTTGTAGAGGATCCCAGCTGCGCCTGCGACGAGGACAATCATGCGGGTCAAGGGATCAGTAATGGCCTTTTCTGATAGTTGCACCGCTGCAACAGCGATAATGCCCACGGTCGACGCGTTGAGACCAGAGAGCAGGGCGTAGACCGGGCCAGGCAGAGAGTCGCCAATGTTGGAAATCCCGACGGAAAGGCCGTACATGCCGAGAGCGCCAGGCAAACTGACAATCACATCAGCACACGCGCGCGAATGGTGGCCATGTCGGGTTGAGCACAGTACCTCCAGATGAGAAACCCCAGCAAGGCAGACAGGAACCCATCGTGGATCAGGTTGATGCAGTAATGCATCTTGGTGCTGCCAGGTCCAGAGAAGGCCTGGCACACGCTGAAAAGCTCTTGGTACTACATGATTATTTAGGACTGATTTCGACTGGCACGTCGTTAGACTTACGATTTGTTCATCGATCCATCCCAGCTTGACCACGAATTTCTCGCGGAGCTACAAGAAGGACATCCCTTAGCATCTGACGCCTCAAGCTTCCTGCAATCTCTTCCATTAGGGAGTTCTGCAGCGACTGAGACTCACAATCTTGAAATGCACTGGCGGGCCTCCAAAGGCAGTGAAGCCCAGATGGTAGTTGGTCCTGAATGTGCTCCATAATCTCTTGGAGACCTGGGCGTTCCGCCAGCTTGTGCCTCCCCGGATTGCCATGACCTTTCCTAGGGACCTAGATTTCCTAGGGACCTAGCGATGCGTATGCGTACGTCCGAATAACAATAGGAAATAGGGTTGAGAAGGCTTGCTGCATTGGATATCGGACCGCATCTGGTGTTGGGGAGAAAAAAGAAGGCCGCATCAATGAGTTGAGATGGCATTGGCCGCCTGTGGCTGAGTGCTAAGTCCTTAGACCAAGTCCTTAGACCATTCAGCCTGCGTCGATATGCCAATCATGAGTGCAGAGCAAAGCACGTGGAATGGCGCATGCTTGGCATCACGTGCGGCCTTGGAGAAATTACTCCCTGAGCAACCATCACTCTATCAGCTCGGAGGTGGATGCTCGTCTGTTGTATGCCAAGATGTGTGCTGACCTTGAAGCAAATGCTTTTCATGTCGCTGGGTTTGACATCTGTCAAGTCAACGACAACCTCACCAGTGTCCAGCCAAGCAGGTGAGCGAATATGTACGGGACCGACATGCCACATTAGACTCAAGCTGGTGTCCTATATTCTTCACAAAACCCTTCGTCGCGTTTTGCATCCGCTTTCATCGCTGGATGCTTCACTGGGAAGACCTTTGAATACCAAGTACAAGGGTAGGACGCCCAGCACTATTCGCACATCACGTCGAATTACAGAACGAACTTAGTCAACACAAGTTTATCGTAATTCATCACCTATCAAAAATCCGAGCCCGGCGAAAACAGAACCAGGCACCATGTACGCCACCGCCGAAGCGAGCTCATCGTCGCCCGACGGTAAACCCCATTTCTTAACAATCCAGAGACGCCCTGACCAGCCAGGCCTCCCGGGTGCACGAACTAGTACACGTAGAACACGTTCGTCTCGTTCTCGCTCGCGCGTAGAGCCCTGTTCCTGCGCTTCATGATGATCTTGGCGAGCCAGGCCAGCGCGGCCGTGGCGATGCTGAAGGCGGCGCTGCTCATCATGGCAATGAGGTAGCGGGGCTCGTCGCTCTTGGGCCACAGGTAGGGGGTCCAGATGAAGCTGATGTTCATTATGGTCGTGACCATGCCGATGGCGACGGCCTTCTTCTCCTTGGTCTGACCGCAGGTGCTGCCGCACCATCCGAGAATGAGCGAGTTGACACCGTACGTTCCTAGGGTTGGTATTAGCATTTGGAATGGCCTTTGCGACTTTCGTGAGGGGGAGTCATCACGTACCAATTGTGAAGATGACCATGGAGGCGTAGCGGCCGCCGACGCTGTTCACGGCGGCGGCGGCAACGAAACCGATGGTGGCGACGGCCTTGGAGATGGTAATGTGCCAGGTGCGCTCGTTGAAGCGACCAGAAGACCACGAGACGGCGATGGTGACGGCGCCGGCAATCAGGTAGGGAGGGCAAGTCAGCACAAGGGTGATGGTCTGGCTGAATCCGAGGGTCTTGACGACGGAGGGGAAGAAGTTCTGCTCATGTTAGAAGTTGTCCAGAGAGTACAAAACTGATCCAGAGACGGAAAAAAAAACGTACCTTGAAACCGTTGGCAGCGAGATGCATGTGAGCCATGGCGCAGAAGATCCAGACCATGGGGTCGCGGCAGGCCTCCTTGAGACCCTTGGTGAGACCAGTCTGGCCCTCGTTGGAGACGGTGTCGAGCTCAATGCGGTTGTGCGCAAGGTTGCGCTCCTCCTCGGTGAGCCACTTGGTGGTCAGGGGGAAGTCGGGAAGGACGAAGTAGCCAACGATGGCAATGACAAAGGTGACGGCGCCCTGGAGGATGAAAAGCCACTGCCAGCCAGCGAGACCACCAGCGCCGTCCATGCCGTGGAAAACACCGGCGGCGATGAGACCAGCAAAAGCAGTAGCAAGAATGTTGCCGGTGTAGAGGATGGCGATTCGGGTGGCAACCTCCTTACGGTTGTAGAAGATGGACAGGATGTAGACAGCGCCGGGGTAGTAAGGAGCCTCAGTGAGACCGAGGAAGAAGCGGGTCAGGAGAAGACCAATGTAGTTATGGGAGAGCGCGGTGAGGGCAGAAACGATGGCCCAGAGCATCATCATGATACCCTAAATGTGTTAGCGGCGATCAGCGCAGCAACTTCGACCGAAACATACCATGTAGCGGGAAGGCCTCGTTCGGGTGAGGAACATGTTGGAGGGGATCTGGCCCAGGATGTAACCGACAAAAAGAATAGACACGCAGGTCTGGTACTCGGTGCCGGAAAGGTTGAGGTCATCCTCGAGGTCGTTGAGACGCGCCAAAGCGATGGCGTTACGATCAAGATAGTTAAGCCAGTACATAGACCAGAGCATGGGCTGAGGCTTTGGTCAGCAATGACTTTTCCAGACGCGTGGTGACCAGGCACATACCATGATCCAGCGGTCGAGCTTCTTCACGAGAGCAATCTCCTTGGGATCGGTCTTCTCGTGGGCACCAAACTGATCAACCTTGTCGACGCGGGGGACAGGCTTCTCTGGGCCGCCATCGTCGAACATGCCAGACTCGTTGGTGCGAGCATGCTCGATCTCAGCCTGTCGCGTCTTCTCGTCGGCCGACATGTTTGTGATGGTATTGGTGCGGTAGGAAAGAAGGTTGGAAGGATGGAGGAAGAGAATGAAGTGACCAGTCACTACCAATGATCAAGAGAAGGGTGATGCTTCGTCTTGTCTGACATGAAAGTCTTTTTGGAACTGAAGGGGAATCTCCTAGATATAGGTTTTTCAGCCCGACTTGCCCATCCCCAATCCTATTCCCCAGACTACGACTCCAAGGACTCCTCTTCCCCAGCTGACACTACTGCTACCCCATGTCTCCATTGCGCTGGTTACGCTGAATCGCGCCATGTTCCCCGTTCCCCGCGGGGGAGGCAGTGGTCCATGTGGAGCGAAACGAGGAAACAAACGAGATGGAACGCTGATCCGTGTTCCACACGAGAGATGGACAGAAAGCAGCCCGTGGCGGCGGCGTGCCCCCGACTCCATCCGACAAGCGTGCCCATCCGTGCCATCATCATGGCACACCCATCGTTGGATGCGATGGAACATGAACAAACCTTCACGCTAGCACGAGTCGGGCCTGCCGTCGGGCCAAGCAAACGTGCAGCAGACAGCCGCATCACGACCCTAGGGTTGGTCTTGGCAGCGTCAAGAATCAAGACCATGTTCAGCCTTCTCCGGCCGGCGGGCGGTGCGAACAGTGACACACATTGCGCGCACGGAAGAAGCAGGCGATCGTGCGCCATGATCCAAAACCATACTGAAGAAGGTCGAGTCGCCGACCATCCCAACGTGCCCCCCCGGGGCACGCAACACCAAGCAGTCCGGGTTTCGCACTTGGCAGCCAAGACCGACAGGGATGCCAACGTCCCCAAGGTGCCCGTGATGCTGTGATGGCCCTGACTCGCCCGCCGCTGCCAGACGACCAACCCCCCCCCCCCCCCCCCCCTGTCGCTCCCGCACGCGGCATAGGACTAGTTTTTGTGAGATTTGAGGCGTTGGAGTATGGTTTGAGAAAAGCGGGGGCGTCCTGTGGCCACTGGGAAAGATTTTGGGCCCGCAGGCGACGACCCAACAAGAGGGGCCACCCCCATGAACGTGGGGATTGGTGTTGTATCGCCTACCTTGGCCTGTCTGGCGTCTGCGCGTGAGGGGCAGCAGGCGAAGGCGAAGGCGAAGGAGGCTGGAAGATGCTAGGTTCGACGCATGTGCAGTGAGATTGCGCCGATTCCACCTCCCCGCCCCCCATGTATTCTTCTTTTTCGGTGTGTCAAGTTACTTTTCTTTCAATGTTATTTCGTAGCAAAAGATCCTCAATTGCGACATGATCTCCCAAGACAGGTGGCACCAGCACATCGCATGTCTCTCTTGGCAACCGCTGTGTGATGTCATATCGGCCTGTCCGTTGTCCTAATGTGCCGTCCTTGGTGATCACGCAGAGCACAAAGACCAGTGACGTCCCGTAGCCATCTGCGGGATGACAGAGGTGGACCATGGCATCTCACCAAGGAGAATGTCTCATCTGGAACTCGAGGGATCGATCTGCACCATCCGACGGCCTGCGGCGGTGCACTATGGGGTTCGAGTTGGTACCCCGCGGAGAAAAGATCATCTCTGACAGGCAAAGCGTGGGAAACCAGGCGCTGGAACTCGTTGGTGCGGCAGAATAGCGTGAACTGGCGCGAACATGGCGGCCAGTAACACCAAGTCCAGTGGTCAGCCGTCTGCTGGAACCGTCTGGTGCTACTCGCACTGGTCGGGAGCTGGAGTACGACCCCGGTCCCCAGGGAGCAATACGATCAGCCAACCTTGAATTAAGCTTATGCCCAGCACGGCCGGTTGCCGCCACAGGTACATGTACCTAGGCCGGTTCCATAGGAGGTGGATCAAGCATGTTGGAGTTGGCTTGCCCCGACCGGTTGCAGCATGGCGGCCACACATTTCTCGTACCTAGATGTGCTGGCTTCACTTTGTTCCCCGCGTATCCGTCTCCCCGGAACATTAAGGATCATGGTTGCGAAGTCTGTTGTCTCGAGAATCCGCGAAATTATCGTCCGTTCGTGGCCATCCAGACCCAGATCGACGGCACTTGACTCTGTCATGCCACATTTACGCCTCATCCGTGGCGACCTTTGCCCTACCTGGGTTTTCGCCGACGCTTGAGCACACTAACGCGAATGAGGCACGTTCCACGCTGCATGGAAGGAAAGCGAGGCCAGCCGTGTCTCGAGTGCTCCAGCCAACGATGCTGAGAGGCGGGGAGCGAGCAAGACCAAGGGTGACCACCCCTCGGAGGGACCCGTACCCAGAACGTCGAGGGTTCACTCACCGCCGCGGCTCGATGACAAGATGAAGAGTCAGCACAACAGTATTCCTTGCATGAGAGCAAATGCCGCCGCGCTTAGACTCGACTGCCAGACTGCGGGGATGACGAGCCAAACCAGCGCGATCACACCTCATACCCCCCGGAGAAGTAATCACGGCTCGTGCCAGGTACCATCCAATGCCACCTAAGCGTAAGCAACCTGGTCCCTGAAAATAGGGAGCCCTTTGTTAGGGCGCAAAGACCATGCCACTGGACCTATTACTGCACAGGACACTGCACAGGACACTGCACAGGACACTGCACAGGACTGCACAGGAGGGGCAGGGCACGGAACATGCCCAGAACCTTTGTCCCCGCACGGCTGTGTTCTTTGCAACTCGCTGGGTGCTGGGGAAAACCACAGGCCTCGAGATTGACACTCGTGGTGCTTCATGGATAATTTGGGAAGACCAGAACAACAGACGTCTGTTGTCTCGAAGCTCTGACCGTGGGGGGAGGAAAACCAACTCTGGCCGCTCAGCAGCCTAAACTTAGAAGCACGCTGAACAGAAATGCGGTGAGACGATCTGCTGCTTCCATTGCCTGGACTGGTAACGTCTAAATCAGGACGTGACGGGCTGGTGGTGGTAGTGCTGATAACACTTCAGACGAATGTTTCTCGTTTCCTCCGACTTCCTTTGTCTTGTCTGACTTTGCCCTGTGCGACAGAGACCATGCCAACGTTTCCGCCTAGTCGCTCGTGCCTCCTTGCGGCCCCCATCCACCGGCCCCAGTCCTCTCTGTCTCTCTCCCCTCACATGATCTGATGGCCCCCTAGCATTGCCCCTCCGCATTTTCCCCTCCCTCTGAACTTCCCCGCACTCCGCAGGAACTATATTTTCAGTCTATCTCCATAATATTTAGACACCAACATGGTAAAGCTAATGTCAGATCGGTGGAACCCGGGTGACTTACCGGGGTGTCGCGGTAGCCCTGGTGGCCTCGTCTTCAAGTTGGAACAGTAGGCTGGTCCGAGATGTTCTCTGAGCGTTCTTGGCGAAGACGAAGCGAGCCTCATAACTTGCTGAGTAGACAACGAGCCCCGTACGGCCACGACGTCGCTCGCTTGGGTTGCCAGGGTCTGTCCGAGTGCAAGTGTCGGTGGAAAGGGGGCGGCTCAACAAGCCAAGCCGGAGCTTCTCCTCACGACGCCGCGGAGCAATGCTCATTTTGGAGGCCCGATGGATCGCGGCCTTCGTCGCGCTCCCTGAACGCGTGAAGCGCCCAAGGCGTACAAACCCAAGTATGCGGCATGCTTATGTTGACGCCACTGCTCAGTCATTGCGCGATATATCGAGATTAGCCCTCCACATTGCTTTCCCTTGAACTAGCCAAGAGAATACTCTCATAGTATTTTCGAGTTGAGGCCATTGGGTGACGCGCTGAGGGAGTTTCCCAGCTCCTTTGGGCCGAGTCTAAAGTATCACCAACGCAAACTCCACCCAGCGTCCCGTAATACCCTCGTGCTGAGATCTGGTTGCACATCTCAACCGATTTATATTCGTGAACGGCGTGGGGTTATGGCTTGGCCTTGCAAGTCCCTGTAAGCAAAGGGTTGCGCTCACCAAGTTGCTCCCCTGAATGGTTCGGTCGTGCCCGGAGAAATCAGGGGCTAACGTATTGCCAGGTAGATTCTCGAATTGAGGCTCAAGGCAAAAGCCGGAATGTTTGACGACATCTCGTCGATTCTAGTCAGAAGGGCTCTTCTGCTACATTCAACACAAGTATGGTGCTGAATCATGATGCTCGGATTTCACCCCCCTTTAGAGGTTCGCCGGCCACGCCTGCGCCCGTCGTAAACGGCGAGCCCGGTCCGGGACCTGTGTTGGCCTCTCCGCAAGCTCACATCGCCCGGCAAGGGCGGCAAGAGACAACGCCGTGAGACTGCAGGCTTTGAGGCTGCTGTGCCTCGCGTCTTGGCCAGGCGAAGCTTGACGAAGCGAGAAGAAAAGGGGGTGTGGTAGTCGTCGCGCCTTCCTCGATCAATGAAAACCTGCTTCGAAGCATCAGGATCGGTGGCGCGATAGTCAAACCCAAAGAGCACCTGACCAGGCCCTGAGATCAAGCTTGATGCCAGTGCTTGAAGTCTTGTTGGCAGCATGCCCCCCCCGGACTTCAGCTCGGTGGCCCGGTCGTCGCCACGTTGGCAGGATGTGTGGAAGGCTTTATTAGCCCATGCGATGGTTCGCCAGGGGAAAACAAGGATAAACGAGGAGGAGCAAGTTCAGGCATGAAGAGCCAACTTCTTTGGGCCCATGTGTCTGTTCATCCATTCTGTTGTCCTCTGTCGGGGTCTCCTGGAGCCCCCCCGAGTGGTGCTATGCGTCTAGGTTTGCCCCATTCTCCTCCCCCTTTTCACCTCGAAGACCATCTCCTTGCCCATCGCTTCACCCTCGCCATATCTACCAAGACGAAAGCCAGCACCGTAACAGGCAGGGCAACACAGAAGTATATCCAGTACGTCCCCCTCAAGGAGGAGACGTCCTCTGACATGCTAAAGAAGCCTGTGACAAACGACAGTGGTGCGAAAACGACGGCTAGATACGTCAGCCTGCCTAGGTCCTGGTTCAGGCTATACCCCCTCCGACTCTCCTCGATCGATATGATGGCTGTGGCAACTGCCACGATCCGTTCTATACGTTGAAGCAAAGTATCGATCCCCTCTTCAACGACACGAAAATCTTCCTTCAGGGATGATGTGTACTCTGACAAAGGACCATTGCTGCTGTTGAACACCTTGGCTGTCGCCTCCTTGATCAGTGTCTTGTACAGTGGTACACTGCGCCGCCAAGGATGCAGTTTGGCCAAACTGGAGTTGATGCCACTGGGATCACGACGAAAGTCAGGATTCTCCAGCTCCCACTCGACTTGTCCGAGGCGAGTGGTGATGTACCGGATTACTGTCAGCCACTCGGCGCAGATGATCTGTGACAAGCCGCGCAGCATGATGCGAGGGTCAGCACCCATCTGTGCCACCTCAGCCCCCTCCATCCTGGTGACCCAGTACACCACTGCCTCGAATAGAGACGTTCTCGGCGGTGCTTTGAAAGGACCGCGAGCTGATATGGACGGCGTAGGCTCAAAGTTGCGATATCCAGCCCACAGTGGTGACCCTTCCTTGACAGATGGGTCGACGAGCAGCACTCCTGAAGGAACGTCAGCTGCCAAGATACCCTCTACATTGAATCATGCATCCCGCATTACTCACCGACGGCCCCTCGATCTCCCTCGGCTGGCTTCCACCAGAATGACGCCTTGCTTCTCACAAGCGCCACAAGTGCGCCCTGTTGATCAAGAAGTGTTTTGTGATTCTTGTCATTGTCTGCCCTCCGCAGCACGTTGAATCGCGCTGCCTCCTTGGTCGCCTCGGCGAACGAAGCTTGACTGCCAAAATGCCGCGGCTGGAGATATCCTACGTGGAAGAACCGCCGCCTCCGCGAGACGACCTGCAGATCGGGCAGCTCGACCCACGGGTCACGGGTGTTGTACCACCAGTAGTCGCTGATCTGCCCTCGGAAGAAGAGCGGATCAATATCCAACGCAGCGCCAAGCGCCTCGACGACGTCGCGCGACAGGTCCTCGACCACATACATGCGGTGGACGTCGGGCTGCACCGGCGCACTTCGCAGCGAGTCGCGCAGCGCGTCGGGGCTCGTGGCGGTGTGGATGGCGGGGGCAGCGCCGGGCGCAAAGTCAACGACGGCGACGTTGGTGCGGCCGGCCCTCTCCTTGCGGATCACGGCCTGCTTTGCTTTGATGTGGTTCCATTTGACTGGCGAAGTCGTCACCTCCATCCAGTGGGCAAGATATCGCAGGTGAGGCCAGGCGTGCGACACGGCCTTGATGTGATCCAAGTAGGGGCGCTTGATGCTGATGAAGTGTCAGTTGCCGCATCATGAATCGCGGAGTGTCTGTTCAGTGACAAGGAAAACTGTGTGATCTTCTCAATCCTATTGTCTTCCGACCGAATTGATCACTTACTTGTCACATAGTTCCCATTCCTGAACGCATTCCGCTGGCGTGGTGTCGTAGACATCGCCAATATAGTAGGGGTCGCCCGCCTCGATTGAATGCGGAAGCACGAGGTTGCCGTCGAGCGTGTCACGGATTGTCTCGCGATACTTCTCATGATCCGCGAGCGGCAACATGTGCCGTGGGGAGGACATCACGCTGGCGGGGAAGTGTTGATGGTTGTGCCAAGTCGCCCAGTCTCAACTGTGAAATTGAAAATCTGGCGGTCGTCGTTGTCGTCTAAGAGATACGAGGTCGCTCATCGGCCTGGTTGCACAGCGATCCCACGTGTCTTGGGGCAAGCTATCTTGGCCAGCAAGTTCAGGTGCACAAGGCTGAATTCCACTCGGCAATGAGGAGGCCGCCCGCCTGCAGATGGGACCCCCACAAACGATGACCTGTCGGCTAGCACGGAACAGCTATTGACTGACTAGAGCATCTGCCTAGGAATCGTGACTCTAGGCTTATGCACGAAGGCTGTGTCTTCGGCCAATTGGCAGGCGCTAAATCGGGACTTATTCGGAGGAGTGAGGCTGAGTCGTGCGATGGTGAAATACATAATCGTCTTCATCCGACGATAGAGAAGATGGGAGGATCAGAATGATCTTTAGAGTCGACAACAACTACACATTCCCGTTTGCCAAACAAACACCACTCCTGACAAATCAACATGACAGCTTCAAGTGCCAGCCTCGAGGAGCAAAATCGGGTGGATTCAGCCGAAATCCAGAACCCGCAAGCTATTGGAACTGATTCGCTGAACGAGACAAATTCACGAGCGGCGAACCTCAATAGTTGGAATAAGAACTCCAACTTTTGGGACACGACCCTCGGCGAAGGCAACGATATGTTCACGCAGCTCATCCTGCCAACCATAGAGGAGCTCGCAGAGGTGCAACCCCATCATCGAGTGCTGGATCTGGGCACAGGCAACGGCATCGTCGCCCGAAGACTTGCTCGAAGAGGCGTTGCCGTACTAGCAACCGATTATAGCCCCCAGCAGATTAAAAACGCCCGAAAGCGTAGTCAAGATTTGGGTCTGGCGATAAGCTACGAACTCCTGGATCTCCTGAGTCGAGATGCGCTTGATGCATTTGCAGCTGAGCATGCGGAGTACGTGACTGTAGGATTAGGTATCTTGTGCTTCCAAGGCTAACATGCGGCAGGGAGTTTGACGTAATTACGGGAAGCATGTTGCTGAAAGAGCTCTCGGATCTGACAGAGCTTTCAAAGTTCCTGCCAAAAGTGCTGAAACCTACTGGGAGGTATGCTTATATGACACAAGTGTTTTTGCTGTTGGATATCGGCTCACATCCGCAGAATAATCATGGCGAATTTGCATCCATGCTTTCACAAGCCTGGAGCGCATCGTATCATTGAGGTCATCGAAAATCAAGAGACCGGTGACCAGGAATTTCACACTTCAATCAAAATATCTAAGTACCTGAATATTGGTCCCGTTCAGAGTCAAGCACTTAGAGGGCAGCCTGAACCACTTGTAAGTCGAGACAGGAGGAAAACATCACCTAGCAACTGTAGTTGGTTTTAGAGGTTCGCACTAACGCTCGGCAAGATCTGGTTTCACCGACCCATTCACCAACTACTCGAACCATTCTTCGATGCCGGTCTTCTCATGAACAAAGTGAGAGAACCATCTTTTGACGATGGGGGCGATCCCGGACAAGCACAGTCCTATCACAATTTCCCTCAAATACCCATGCAGTTCATCTTCCGGCTTGTCAGGACCTCATGATATGACAGCAGAAGGGAATCTTGTTTGCAAGAGCGAAGAAATGGAATTAATGCTTGAAGAGTAAGCTTGCTCCCGCGACCTGATATTGCAAGCTTTGAATGAATACTACGAAAGTATGACCCAGCGATAGCGGCGGTGCATAGATCCTGCTTGGAGACTAGAGGTGGACATTCCAGCGTATTAACCTTCTCGAGAAGCTTACCTACTGACATGCCGATGCTATTTTATTCTCATGAAAATGAAAATAAATTGTGCGCGAACGCCAGCTCTATGGCTGCTTCGAACCTGGAGCGTTAGACAGGAGACACGATACACTGCTGCCTGGTGCTAATAATATGATTTGCCCGTGTAGTGCGATTCGAAGCTGCTTTTAATTAAGGGACCAGCCAAGGGTATATTCAATGGACAGAACACTTCTCCACACAGGGCCTCGAGAAAGGCCAAGATATCACGTGTGAAATGCCTCATCTGTTGAATTTCGTGGAACTCAATACACTAATATCCTGCAGTAAAAATTGGCAGCGATCTGTTCCTTGATATTCAATATCATAAAATACGAAAGACCGAGATTTTGCTTTAGATTGATACCTGCAACCTATCTCCGACCAATGCCTAGGAACGAGTCCTAACGCCTGCTACATGAATATGCATACCGTCATGACTCAAGTCATGTAGAGCTGGGGCGAGACATGGTCAAGACATGTCTCCTCAACAGCCGTGAATGCATTCCTCGGCAGCTGATCGGTTTTTGAGCGGCTGATTTGCCATCATGCAACAATATTCCCATCTGACGAGTTTTAATTTTGCACTTTAACTTGGTTCGGTTGCAGCTCATTTCTTTTTTGAAGCTGGCAGCTATGAAATGTATTGAATGACAAGGTTTGTTCTGCTTGACTATAGCTTGATACTTTGTCACAGGTTTATCTGATTCAATGCTAACTTTTGCCATCCGAATTGCCGCATTCTTCGGCATATTTATCCACGTGGGCAGTGAAACAGATACAGGGACCGTGCTATGGCAAAACCCGTGCCAAAGGAATGATGGAAGTGAATGAGCCTGCGAAAATGGCAAGATCGGACAGAACAGCATGGTCCTGGTCCATTCATGTCGGCTCTTGTCTTATCATGCAACTAAACTCACAGACGAGACCATTGAGTGCTACTTATGAGTGAGAAGACAAGAACGTCAAGAATGCTATCTCTCCTGCTCCGAGACACTGGTCTCCGCTGATCAACTATTATAAATACCATGGGGTTGTGTCCACAGGGAGAAACCCTATCACTCTCCAGACTTACATTGATCGGTTTCTGTTACCTACTCTACTCCATCAACTTCCTCCAGTATCTATTTACTATCCCAAGATGAGATTCTCTATTGCGACGATTGCTCTGTTTGCTGGAGCTGCCATGGCACACCCAGCCAACCTCGAAACATCCCTCGAAACGCGTGAGCTGCGTACCGCCTGCTCTGGCCTCCTTCATGGCACTCCTCTCTGCTGCTCCACCAGTATTCTTGGTCTGGCCGTTCTAGACTGCTCTACCCGTACGTTGTTCGATCGTCTATCTGCAGCGCTTTAATTCCCTTCAAGCAATACCCCAGTTGAAAGTCGTGAGCGTGACTAATTCGTTCTCCCAACAATAGCAAAGAGTGCCAGGAACGGCGAGGACATGAGGCGGAACTGCAACGGAAAGCAGCCCCAGTGCTGCACCCTGGGAATCAGCGAAATCGCCCTTCTTTGCCAGAGGCCCATTGGAGCTTGATAGAATAGCTCGTGGTGCGGCAGCAATGGTGGAAGCTACGGCTGGCAGTATACTCTTGTTTTATTCTCTTGATCAGAACTCCGAATACACGAAAACCTTGAGCTCGCTCTCTAGGAGAAATGTCAGGAATTTATCCTTGGTCCAGCACGGCATGCCACAGCTTGCACGCTTTGAAGGCAGTCTAAACTACAGAATATTGTCTATTCATCTGGTTCCTCCCTACATCTAAACTGCTTGGAATCTCATCTTGCCGTCCAGACGTGGCTTGGGTGACGACCTGTAGAGCTGTGGTCTGACAGAAAGGCATGAGTCTGTTGTCCTAGGTCAAGCCAATACAGGCGTTCATCGTCTTCCATAGGCCAATAGATTTCCGGCCAAAGATTATCGTCAGCAAGATCACGACTAGCAGAAAAATGCAGAGTACTTTGGCGTCAACATTGTAAGAGGTTTGAAGAGGGCTCCAGAGAACTGAAGTGCAAAGAGGACCAGATTGGAAAAGAGACCGAATCTATCAAGGACCTGTCTCTGAACACCAGAATGGCCATCGGATGTATAAGCACAATTGATCTGATGCTTTGCCCAACAAGGGTGCCTGGTTTTCTCCGATTCCTCTATCTTACTCGGTCTCCTGATCAGCCAGGGCCCTCTTCTTAGGACACACAATCTCGTTGATCCTGAGAGCGGCCGTATCATGGGCATCGAGATCAATCTTGAACGAGCCCTCAAAGGCCCCGAGGTCACTTCCGGTCCACATGTTGTGGACAACGTACCGCTTGCCAGCCTCGAGGCCCGGCACGTCGGCGAAAACAACAACCTTCTCGTCTTCCACATCCAGCGTGTTGAGAATGAACACGTGCGTTCCCTTTGACGACTCGCCAGCCCAGTACTCTGCCGGGTTCGTCTGGTTCCATGATCCGAACTCGCGGCCAAGACCCCAGTCGTACGGCTTGGCAGAGGCACCCACAATGGGGTCCTGGTTAAAGTCGACGAGCTCCTTATTCGCTAGGATGGCGAGGATCTCGGGCTTGATCCCCTCGAGACGCGTGCCGATGATCAGAGGGCTCTTGAGCGCCGCCCACAGAGCAAAGTGGCTGCGGCTCTCGGCAAGAGTCAGCTCACCGTTGCCGACCTCGAGCATGTCCCAGTCGTTGTGGCCCCAGAAGTCACTCGTGTTCCAGAAAAAGGAGGCATGGTTGAGGATCGGCGCGATACCCCAGCTCCACCTGTGTACATTGTCAGGCCGCGCTATTACCCCATTTTCCATGCAAAGACAGGACTTACTCGTGCTTCCCGTGCCACACGGGGTAGATGTCTCCCCACATGCGCCAGCTGTGTCCCGTGTCGTTGCCCCACTGCTCGACGTGGGCGTGGCCCCATGCGCAGAGGGAGTACTGGATCGTGCGGTCCTGCTTCAGCAGCTCGTCGCGCATGCGGCGGAAGCGCTCGGCCGAGTTGGACGTGGACCAGTCGTAGCCGGGGGGCGCGGGCTTGTCCGTCTTGGAGTTGACGGGGGAGCCGTCGTCCTGCTTCTCGTTGGGAGGGCCGCCGAACCAGTTCTCGGGAACGTACTTCCAGTCGTCCCACCACTCCTCGGGCACGGCACAGTTGTCGTATTTGAGGTCTGGCATGTCAGCTTCAAAGGCGCGATGAGGGTGCTTGAGGCGAGACTCACAGTCGATGCCCCACTTGGCAAAGGTGGCAGCGTCAACATCTTCGTAGCCCAGGGACGCCGCGAAGCCACCGCAGGTGGACAGACCGGCGTTGGAGTAGATGCCAACCTTGAGGCCGAGCTTATGGATCTCATCCGCGACGTGCTTGATGCCGTTGGGGAACTTGACGTAATCGGGAATGATCTCCTTGGTTGTGTTGTCTCTCCGAAGCACCTTGTCGCTCCAGCAATCGTCAATGTTGACGTACTCGTATCCGAGATCCTTGAGTCCGTAGTCCACGAGGTGGTGGCCGACCTTGAGGAAGACGCTCTCATCAATGTCGCACCCGTACTCGTTCCATGAGTTCCATCCCAGGGCAGGCAGACGGCCAACACCGCCGGGGCTCGTCAGCTGCGCGGCGCCCGTGGTAGCCAGGGCGAGGCCCGCAGGCAGAATGTTGCGAATGACACCCATGTCGGAGGGTTCCTTGAGTGGTTGCTGGAGGTGATATCAGACTCGCCTAGGTCTTACACATCATCGAGGCAGCGGAACGCACCTGGGCGTCCTGAGCATATGTAGCCGGCACCGCCGCGAGGAGTGGCAAGGCCAAGAGGGGCCATGATGCTCTGCGAAATGGCCAACAAGGAAACATCGTGGTCTGGAGGACCTGCTACTGGGTCGGCAATGCGGTCGGGTTGAGGATCCGGTCCGTTGGCGGGGGGTTCGCAAGGGGAAGTGCGGGGAGGCCGTCAACGGCGGAGGATCGACGTCCGTCGCCGGAGGAGGTTGGAGCCCGTACGTTGAACCTTGCCTCGCAATGCAGGAGCAGCGACTGAAGTCGGGGCCCTGTCTGCGTTTGTGTTCGTGCAGACTTGTCGTCGAGAACTGGTCCAGGAGAGAGAGGCCTGGCCTGGCATGGCAGCAGGGCATGGTGCCACCGTGACGATTTATTAAGGCACGACCTGCATGTAACCCCCCGGACTCAAAGAACCGGGTAAACAGTGCTGCAGGCTCACGGGCCGGGCATGCTTAGCGGCGGGTTTCCGGGAGGGGGATTGGCGTGGCCGCAGGGGACACGCAGCTCGCGGCGTGTCTCTGGGAGGGGCTTGTCCTGCCGATGTGGCTTTTGGGGGGCGCTCATGAAGGAAGCAAGCCAGGGAATGGGAAGTAAAGATGAAGATGTGGCAGGGGTCTTCCCGTCAATATCCCGATGGTTTTCCGCAAGTTGCTTGTCACTGAGAGAGTTCGAGGATCAGCAATGTGGCGTTCGAGGCGACACGAGCACTCAGGGGTTACCACGAACAACAAAGTTCAAAGTCAGACGAGTACTCCTTACTCTGAGTACTCGCACTTCTGCTTCACAAGATGCTCTTCGTTCAACCAAAAGAAGAGAGTTATTGGACTTGCTATATCGTGTTAGCAAAGACAAAAAGATCTTCCGATCGGGGAATTGAACCCCGGTCCCCGGCGTGACAAGCCGATATCCTAACCACTAGACTAATCGGAACTGAATGAAGTTCGAGAACTTTAGATCTAATCATACCATATCAACATTATCTCGCCTGCACCTCTGCAACTGCTCCTTCAACACAATTAGCTTCACCTCCAAAACGCCCGAGGTTTCTCTCAACAACATCCATGGAGCTAAGCAATAGGTCACGACATTCCTGATATGAGTGTCCGAAATGGATCATCACCCGCCAGGTCGCCCATTCAAGCGCCCGAAAATCCCTTGGATGGACTTGAATTTTCGTCTTGCAAGACCTGATCGAAGGCTCACTAGCAATACGTGAGCGAGGAAGGCCGTCTGCCAAAATGCATTCACTTGATGATCGGGCTGTCACTTTTCAATAGTGTCCACCAATACGGCCATGCAGACGACCAAATAGGTTAGCAGTTCGGATACCCGGCAGCTCGTGCAGCATCGAGTGGTGCGGCTAAGTTCAGCTCTCACGATAACGATGGCAGCCTCACGCAACTGATCATGCCCGAAAGTCACGACGAGAAGGGCATTTTTGATACTTGTTCGACGTCGCACTGCTCGTCGCCCTCGACCGAACTTTAGCAGCGGCCCAAGAGGAGCAAAGCCCACCATGGAGCCATACCAGTATTCTCCCATTACAATTGCCGGCACATTTCGGCTCGTTCGTCTTTTGCGTGTTGACACCACGACCTCACCGCCAACTATCGACGTTTCCATCGTCGAGACATCCCTTCCCGACCCAGTGCCTTATGACGCTCTGTCTTATCACTGGGGTGTCGGAGCCGATGAAAAGCCAGATCGTCCGATAAACGTCTCGACACCAACAGGCTCTCGCCGTCTGTTCATCTACGAGCCACTGGAGACGGCCATTCTCGAACTCGCAGCCGCAGGTTTCACCCAACGCGCCATCTTCATCGACCAGATATGCATCGATCAGCGCAGCCCTGCCGACAAGGCGGGCCAGGTCCCGCTCATGGGCGACATCTACACACGCAGCGCTCGCGTCGTCGTGCGCCTCGGCCCCTCGACGCCGGCCTCAGATGACTACTTCCGCTTCGTCCGCCAGATCAACGCAGCCTCTCCGCTGGGCCGCATCGTGCAGATCCCGGGCAAGGAGTTTCTCGCGATATACGACGCCGTCGCCGATCCCACCATGCCTTGCGAGCCCGCCGTGGCTGCCGACCGCGACGCCCTGCTCGCCCTCGTCAAGGCGAATCCCGAGTTCCCGCTGGCGAGCGCCATTGACGTCCAGAGCCGTTCGTGGTTCAGCCGCCTCTGGGTCATTCAGGAGTTCTGCCTCGTGCGCGACGCCGTTCTCCTGTGCGGCGGAGAGCTCGTTTGCGTCACGTGTCTGCGGGCGGCCATGCTCTTCTTCGTCGTGCACAACGCGTGGTGGCTGAGGACCGTCAAGGGAGACGTCCCCGTGGCCACGATGCAGCAGCGGGAACGCATCTTCCAGCTCAACGCCGCCATCATACGTCTGTTCCAGGAGCGGAGGGCCATACACACTGGGGATGGCAAGCGCGATCTGTATGACGTTGTCCTCAAGTACAACATTGACAAGGAGGGCAACAAGATTGGGGCGACCATGCCGGAGGACAGGATCTTCGGGCTCATGGGCTTGGCGCGAGAGGACGAGTACTGGCGGCAAGTGCGGGTGCGCTATCATGACGCTGTCGGGGTGTACACCGACTTTGCGGGGCTCATGGCGGCGAGGAGCACCGATCTGCTGCTGTATTCGCAGTTTCCCAAAATGCTGGCCGGCCTGCCATCGTGGGTGCCGGACTGGTCGGCCAAGCTGCGGGTGCCGCACGGCTACATGGAGCTCGGCCAGCCGGTGTTCAGTGCCGGGGGCACCGGCGGAGCCGCGCCGCGTGTTGACCCCGCATCGGGCTGCCTCGTGGTAGAGGGTGTCATGGTGGATCACATCAGCCGGATCGGAACTCGACAATTGCAGCTGGATCTGTCGGACAAGACATCGGAGGGTGTCGACTATATCATGACAAAGTACTTCCTCGACGAGACCCAAGAATTCGTCCAGACAGCCGCTCAGCTCGCGACATCATCCATCCATGGCGTCCATGCCGACCAGCTTGCCCAGGTGGCCATACGGCTCTCTGACTTTGGCCTCACAGAGAAGGTGCTGCTGCAAGACATGGCGCCAGACGCTGTGGCGACGACACTGGTCAGAGTGCGAGACCAAGTACACAAGACTGGCCAGATGCTGATCAAGGCGAACAGCACGACCCAGATGTTCACTCTCGGCAACCTCCTCCAGAGTCTGAGCCGGGCACCCTGGTACTGGGCCCCGCCGAACGAGTTCGAGACGGTACGGTCCTGCGCCGCCAGCCCCCGCCAAGCTGTCTCGACGTTGGCGCGCGGTGCCCGCCTCGCGACCCTGGACGTGCTCGTGGCGCTCGGCGCTTCGACGGCCATCTTCGTCGTGACACGATGGCTCGCCTTTCGCAAACGATTCAGGGGGTTCAATTTCGAGGGCGTGACCTCTTCGCAGAGGGCAGGTCTGCAGCGTTTCGGTCTGGACGAGACGCTGCTGCGGAGCACTGCGATGAGGGACTATCGCGATCACCTAGCGAGAAACATGGGCAACCGGGTGTACATGACGAGGCAGGGGTTTGTGGGACTGTGTCCGCCGCGGGCTGTGGTAGGGGATGCGGTAGCCATCGTGCTGGGCGGCACCGTGCCGCACATTCTGCGTGCCAAAGCAGGGGCGGCGGCTGGCAGATGGGAGTACGTTGGCGAGGCCTATTGTGAGGGCGTCATGCAGGGGGAGGCCGTGAGACAGCCGGATCGACGTGCTGGCGAGATATTCTTGGAGTGAGTGACGTGAACATGATGGTTCATGTCATATTGTTCTGATAATGAGGGAGAGGCAGTGGGGGCCATTCATGTGCCCAGGTTGCGTGGCACCGGTGATGAGACCTTTAGGGACCTAGCTTGGAGGATCGATCTTTCCTCTGCAGGGTACACGGGAAATTTATATACAGAAGTATTTATATACAGAAGTATTGAGATGTCCAACGAAGAGCAGGCGTGGGGACCAGGCAAGGCAAGACTATGTACGGTTCACCATGATAACTGGTTGAGTAAGAGTTGGTTTATCAGAGCTCAAGTCCTGCCCGAGGACGCCAAGATCAGGTATTTCACCTATCGTATTTGGATTACTAGGGAAGTAGCTTAGCTAGAGGAACATATCAGGGGCTTCCAAGACAGAATGTCGTTGGGATGAATACTGGTTAGGCTGGAAGATCCTCTTGTTCGCCTGACTGGCTTTGGTGTTTGGTGGATGCAATAAAGAATGGGTGCAGATACGCCATTCGGATTCCAGTTCCAGAAACGGGAGCCTCCAACGCGGCAAGATACCTACTCATTGTTCTCTGGACTCACAATCTCAGCAATGCACACCAAAAAGGATCTTCGCCGAGGTTGCCGGAGCATTTGCCCCAGACGACCCACTCAGGTCGCACACCGAGCCACACGGCTGCATGCGGCTTTGAGAAATGCCATGTCGAATCCCTGAGGTGCTGAGGTGCTGAGGTGCTGTGGGATGAGTGGGGGGAGTACGGCAGTGATCCAACCAGATGAACCTTGGGCGCCTCACGAGGGTGGCTGCTGATCACATCGTGCATTGGGATGCGAGGCGTGTAAAGTTATGGCCGTCATGGTGTTGTTCTTTCTCATCTGTACGCTCTCGCCCGGGAATACCGCATGATGGAAGAGATGGGAGCTGACTCTGCACATGAGCAGTACCAAGCATACGCCTAGGGTACCTAAGATTGGTACCTACCTAGGTATGGTAAGGTAAGTAAGGTACCTACCTAGAAAGGTACCTACCTAGAAAGGTACCTACCTAGAAAGGTACATGTTCCTTGGGTTCCTCGGGTAGATACCGTAGGCAGGGCTGGTAGGAGCACCCAGGCCCAAGACAGATACTATCGAGATCTGTTAGCGTCCCACTACAGCGCTGTTCGGCGGACACCAAGTGGGCCTCCCCCCGGCGGCCCTGGCCATTACCCGCACATGTTCTCAATTCTCCATCACGCCAACTGCATCTGGCTCTGGCCTCCCCCAGTCCTCTGACGACACCCATCAATCCCATGGCCAAAGACCAAAGGGCCATCCGCCTCCACGAAGGCACCCAAGGCACCCCATGCCTATCAAAGTCGCCGGCGGTTCGGTTCGAGATCCATCCAACGAGGTCAGTCACCTTCGCTATCGATGAAAGGGTTGCGTCTACCAGCCCATCCCTGTCGCCGCCATTCAACTGTCGCAAGCACGTTACATGACATCTCACAGCACGCCCGCCTGTCCTCCCCCCTCCCCCCTCCCCCCCCCAGTTCCATGACATCAACGATTTGATTCTCGCATACGGCAACGGGCCTGGCCGAGGGGAACCGTTTATTTTGTTGGCGCCGAAAGTGAGGTACGCCCCAACATGCGCCTCCACGAGATAAAGGCTACATTATCCCTCCAACCTGCATCACTTGTCGACGACCTGTCCTGTCCTGTCTCGGTCGACAAAACGCAGCAACGGTCCGCCACCGACACCGAGACCATCCATAGCCCCTCACTCACCCGAAAGGACAGTCAAGGTTGCCGATCCCTCTTTCGTGGCACCGATCCCTCTTTCGTGGCACTGCTGCTGTCGAACAGCTACCAGCACCATGCACCCGTCCAACTCGCCCAACGGGACCAAGCTCTCCTCGGGCCACAATACGCCACCCAACGAAATCGAGGGCGACACCCACGGCGTCGACCTTCAGGGTCTTGACGGTCTGACTCTCTACGAGAAGAAATGCGTCCTCATCAACCGCGAGATAGAATACCAGGGCATGGGCAGGTACCAATGGTACATCTGGTGCCTCTGCGGCTTCGGCTACCTGCTCGATCTGCTCTGGGCCCAGGCATTCGGTCTCGCCCTCAGCCCTCTGCAGCAGGAGCTTGGCTTCAGCAACTCCGAGTCCGGCAACATTGGCACCAGCTTCAACGCCGGCATGACGGCCGGCGCCTTCGTCTGGGGCTTCCTCGCTGATATCGTGGGTCGCCGCTGGGCTTTCAACTTGACCTGTCTGATTGCCTCCGTCTTTGGCCTGTGTCTTGGTGCTTCCCACAATTACAATACCTTCTTGGTCTTGACGGCCTTCGTTGGCTTTGGCGTCGGCGGCAACATTCCCATCGACACGACCATTACGCTCGAGTTCATCCCCAAGGCGAGTTTTCCCCCTTGTGGCTTTGGATATCGACTGGCAAGTACGTCGACTGGCGAGTACGTCAAGACTGACTTTCTTTTAGAACAAACGCTTTCTGCTGGCTTGCTTGTCCGTCTTTCAGCCCATTGGCGTCGTCCTCTGCTCCGCCATTGCCTTTGGCTTCATCCCCGTCTACTCGTGCTCCCCCAATTTTTCCCAACAGGACCCTCTGCCGTCTTGTCGCAATGCTGCCGACGGCGAAGAATGCTGTTCCCGCGGTTCGAACATGGGCTGGCGCTACCTGCTGTTCACCATTGGTGCCATCACCCTCTCCGTCTTCATTCTGCGCTTCTTCGTCTTTACCTTTCGCGAGACGCCCAAGTACCTCATTTACCGCGGCCAGGACGCCAAGGCCATCGAGACGCTGCATCACATGGGCCAGGTCAACAAGCGTGCGTGCAAGCTGACGCTCGCCGTCTTCGAGTCACTCACCACCGATGACTCGTCCGTCGGGTCCGGGTTTGGGTCCGGGTCTGCTTCCAAAGCCATGCTCGGCGGTGGCAACCGCCAGCTGAAGCTCTCGTGGAACGAAAAGCTGCGGCTGGAAATGTCCCGCTACAAGATGCTCTTTGACGGCTGGCAGATGACGCGCCTGACCATCCTCGTCTGGCTGACCTACATCATGGACTACTGGGCCTTCACCGTCGCCGGCTTCTACCTGCCGCGCATCCTCGCCCTCAAGAACGGCGCCATCGACGTCAGCCTCACCCAGACCTACGCCGCCTACATCTACACCTACGTCCCCGGCATCTTTGGCGTGCTGCTCGGCGCCCTGATGTACCACATTCCCAGCTTCGGCCGCAAGTGGACCCTCGTGCTCTCGGCGGCCCTCATGAGCACCTCCATCTTTCTGCTGTCCGTCGTCGACACGCGCGCCAAGAACGAGGGCCTCTTCACGATGGAGTACTTTTTCCAGAGCATGTTCAACGCCGTGCTCTACGGGTGGACGCCCGAGGCCTTCCCGGCCCCCGTGCGCGGCACCGCCTGCGGTTTTGGCCGGCTTCTGGGGCCGCCTGTTCGGCATCGTCAGTCCCCTGATTGCGCAGCACCTGTATGGCCGGTCCGAGGGCGAGGGCGACATCAATGCCGTCCTGTATCTTGCCGGCGGTGTCATGCTGGGGTGTGTGGTCACGACGGCGCTGCTGCCGACGAACAAGATGGAGACGACGGATGCCAGGATTCAGGACTAGGGGGCTTGCAAGGCGATCATCGATTAGCAAGATTTCACGAGTATTCGGAACGCTATTGATTGTAATAAATGCATTTGGCTCGTGCCAAGTTCACTACTGCTACGCTCAAAGTGAAAGGTGCGAATCTCCCCATGAATATTAGTCTTCAGAGCACTACCCAGACTGAATTTCCTATGCCACGTTGAAAGAACAGGCAGCGAAGACTCAATGTGAGTGGACTCCAAGTCGGAAGACCCTCTACTATTACTATTTCTTAAGCACATCCAAATCCCGCTGAAGGATCATCAGATTTGTCAAGCTAAGCCAGGAAGAGCAGGTGAGCCAGCTGCTGCTGACGACCCAGAATTCGACCTGGGACTTTGGCAAGGAGACGTCTAGAACTCTTTCAATCATCTCAGGACTGAAGAAGAAGCCATCCCTACGACTCCCAAACCCCCACGCAAACCTTCCTGTCAAACACCAACCTCTGCGGCGCTTCCCTCGCAGGGATGCTCAAACCTAAACCCTCCCGCGGCAGCACGGCGAGCATCCGAAAACAAGGGTCCTCTCACCGCTCCCAAACGCATCATTTCCACATCTCACCGAGAAGAAAAACGACAAGCCGAGCGGCCCGAAGCGCGGCTTCTGACCTTCGCGGCCGCCCTTCGGAGCGCGGCCCGGCCAACCACCCGCACCACCCTTCCTGAGCCGGAATGCGGCGCCTCGGTGAAGGATCTCGTCGTCTTGGCAAGCGTGATGCGGCCGCCTCCATCCTTCAAAGAGGATGCGATTCCCAGCTTGCGCAGGCTGCGGGGCTTAGGTCTTTGCGAAGGATGTCGCTGGGAACAGGACTTTGCTGCTGGGGCTCGTGCGACAACCCCCCGTGGTCTTGACGCTGCCGGGCCAGGTCCGACTGCGTCGCCTGATGAATTTTGATCTGCAGGCATCAATCATGTCGAGGGGGTGGAGATCAAGGGGCCTTGGTGTGGCCTGGACCGAGACCAAAGCAGGCAGCTCGACGGTGTCAGATCTGGTGGTTTCACGGACTCTGCGGAAACCCTCGACTTTTGACGCTGGCTTGCTTCCATCGCCGGCCCGGCTGCCGCTCGCCTGCACGATTGAAGCACTCGTGAGAGCGAGAAAAGGATTTGATCATGGATCCATGTCTAGTTCCTCACTTGTATAAATGACCGTTGACGATCCAGACGAGAAGAGCCCGTTCAAGGCCTCACAACAGTCACGATGCGTCTTCTGTCGATTCTTCAGATCCTGCCCCTAACAGGCGGCGCTGCAGCGGGCTCGGCCTTTGCTAGAAACGATGAGCCCTCTCTCGGCGTAGCGGACGCCACGAAGCAGTACATTGTTGAAGTGGAAAAGGTTCGTCTTGCTATACTTGCACCCCGATCATCACCACTCTAATGAAGTAGGCTACGGACGTTGACGCTTTGTCCGAGAGCCTCAACGCCGAGGATCATGTCAAAGTCCTCAAGACCTACAACTCGGAAGTCTTCCGTGGCTTGACCATTGAGACGGACGTGTACAACCTCGACAGCATCGGACAGCTGGGAGACGTGGCGCGGGCGTGGCCTGCGAGCGTGGTTGAACTCCCGGACCTGGGGCCTGATGTGCAGCCGCCCAGCAACGCGAGGCTTGCTGCGGCGGCCAACTATTCCATCCATTCGTGGACTGGAGTGGATAAGATTCATGCTACTGGCAACTTTGGGCAGGGCGTCAAGGTAGCTGTTGTGGATACGGGCGTTGATTACAGACATGAGGCGGTCAGCACCACTATATCACGTCAACCTTGAACGTTCGCTGATTTTACTCTAGCTTGGTGGAGGATTCGGTCCAGGTTTCAAGGTATCCGGGGGTTACGATGTTGTTGGCGATGGTCAGTACTTTGTTGAAATGGGAAGACAGCATGCTCACATACACTCAAGGTTGGCCGATCGAGGATGGCGTGCCTGACGGCGATCCACTAGATGGTCGAGGCCATGGCACGCATGTCGCTGGCATCATTGCAGCTCAAACAGACTCGTGAGTTTCCCACCGAGTGATGGTCCTCGGCACCGTCATTTTATTCATGTCTGACCCTATACCCAGGTTTCAAGGCGTCGCGCCTGGCGTTGATCTGCTTGCATACAAGGTCTTCTCCTCGATTGGGGTATGTCCCATATCATGTATAACCATTAACGCTCCATGTCGCTGATATATCCAACCCGCAGAGTGGTACATATGACACCTACATTATCGATGCATTCATCAAAGCCTTTGATGATGGTGTAAGTCCCGACAGGCGAGAAAGATCTGAGCCCCTCCGAGCTAACCACTTGACAGGCTGATGTCATCACCTGTAGTATTGGTGTTTCCGGAGGCTGGTCGAACGGCCCCTGGGCCACCATCGCGTCGCGAATCGCCCAACAAGGCGTCATCATCACGATCGCAGCCGCCAACGATGGTGCGCAAGGCGCATTCTACGCCAGCAGTGGGTCTTCTGGAAAGGAAGTTTTGGCTGTGGCATCAGCAGAAGCCGGGACCTACGCAGCGACGCCATTCCAACTTACGCAGACGATCAATGGTGAGACAATCTCTATTCAGTCTGCGTATCGGTACAACGGCATCAACGCCTGGGACATCGAAGACACTCCTATTCATGCCCTTTACCTCAACACCTCCAGCGGTCAAGCGTGCTCGCCGGCTTCGATCCCCGCCGACACACCCGACCTGTCCAACGTCATCACCTTGGTCCGCCGCGGCGGCTGCGACTACCTAGACCAAGAATTCAACCTCAGGGCTTTCAATGTCAGCCGAATCATGTTCTACAACGACAACAGCCGTCCTGACCACCCATCGACCTGGCTGAGTGGACCCAAGGCACTTGTTGATGCCGACGTTGGTGAGGGTATCGTCGAGATCATCAAGGCTGGCGGTCAAGTTTCGGCGGACTTTTCCAAATTCAAGGATGCCGATTGGTATGTTGGCATGCACAACGGTGTGGGTAACAAGCCCAGCGAGTTCACCTCATGGGGCGGCCTGAATGATATGGACCTCAAGCCGGAGGTCTCGGCCCCGGGTGGCAACATCCTGAGCACCTGGCTCGACGGCACTTGGCGGGTTGCCAGTGGCACTTCGATGGCCTGCCCTTATTTGGCGGGTATTGCGGCCCTCTTCATTAGCGAGTTTGGCGGCCGCGACGTCCATGGCCCCAGCTTGAGCAGGACGTTCTACAATCGAGTCGTTGCCAGCGGTAACTCGATGCCTTGGTCGACCGTGGATGCCGTGGCGTTTCAGGACACGGGTTTTTGGGCTCCGACGATTCAGACCGGCAGCGGCTTGGTCGACGCTTGGAAAGTTCTCAACTATACCAGCACCCTCAGCACAACGAAGTGGGTACTCAATGACACGGCACACTTTGATGGCCAACATAGTACTGTCATCGCCAACAATGCCAACGTCGACGTCGAGTACGGGTTTCTGCTTCAGCCTGCCGCTGGTGTTGAGGTTGCAACAACTTCCGGCGCTCTGGCCAAGCTCAAAGACTACAAACCTCTGAAAATGATACCCAACATCACTCTCCCTTCAGGCAGCTTCAAATTAAAGCCAGGCGAGAAGCGGAAGGCCCAGTATGTTTTGTTTTGTTGATTCTGATCGGAAGGGGTCAATGCTGACTGCTGAAAGATTCTCATTTGATTATCCCCGAGGTCTGAACGAAGCAAAGCAGCCTCTGTACAGCGGCAAGGTCCTCATCACTTCTTCTCTCGGGGAAACTCTCTCTGTCTCGTACTTTGGCGCAGCGTATAATGTAAAGGACCAGTACAAGGACATGTTCATCGACAACACGCCGTATATCATGTCTCCTTCGCGAAACTTTCCCGAGAAGAGAAAGTATGTACCTTCTTTTCCCGTGGCGAATTACGGACCGCTGATCTTGAGAACAGTTTCACATTCGACCTCAGTTCGGGCAAACCTACCAGCCAGGATTATCCGAAGGTCTTTACGTCTTTCAGTTTTGGCTGTGACGAACTCCGTTGGGATGTAAGAAAACAATATGACCCCTGAGTGTGTGTTTGCACGAGAAAGACCTAACAAGCTTGCAGATCTATGAATCTGGGTGGGAGGAATCGAGATGGTCGTATCCACCGGTTGTCGGGGAGAACGGCTACGTGGGTGCTGCTACGGCGTTCCGTGATTCTCTAAGATATACATTCTTCGACTCGAGCATCCATGACAAAGAAGATACTGTGGCTTTCCCCATCCGCGCTCTTAGTCGGAGCGTTCAATCTGGCGGCACGTCCCTCGGGCTGGATCGTCACAGGTTCTTCTGGCTTGGAAAGCTTGCAAATGGAACTTATATCCAGCCAGGCATCTACAAGTAAGTTCCTACTTTCTGGTCTTCATCGTACAAATGGCCGTATCTGGAACTGACACAACCCAACGCTCAGAATGAGATTCGCCGCTCTTCGACCTCTGGGTCTGCGCCAAGACTCTAATGATTGGGACGTTTGGGAAACACCAGAGATCACGGTGCTCCCCCTTCCGGTGGATTGATTTGCAACCAAAGCAGCTACTAGCAGGACTTCAACTGGACTTGTGAAGCTCTATCAGAGCAGGTTTCTCGATGGAGTCAATCTACTGTCATGCAAACCTCTCCTTCGTCTTTGTGCCCCGCCAAACACTTCAGTGGCGCTACATGACCGCCTGAAGTGCATTTGCAACATCCTGTTCTCCATGATTAGACGCAATCTGCATGGCAGTTTTGCCGTCCTTATCCAACTTGAACACATCTGCGCCTGCCTCTACAAGCATTCTTGTCATCTCTAGATTTCCTCTGGCCGCTGCAAGCATGAGCAATGTTCCTTCATCCGGATGTGACGAGTTGACATCCCCTCCGTGGGCGATGAGGGTCTTCATTAGATCGTTATTTCCGCAAATCACGGTCCAATATAAAACCCCGCGCCCACCGTGTGTTGGGCGGTTGATGTCTGAACCGCCCTCAACCATGACCTTTGCTTGCGCGGTGAAATCTCTTGCGCAAATACCTAGCATCGGGACATGATCTGGCTTAATGTTAGGTACTGCACAGCATGAACAGAACTAGAACTTACCCATGCCATCCCACATTGGGGCGTCGGGATCGGCCCCAAGATCAATGAGAAACCTTGTCATGGCTGGATCTCTCTTGTATCGCGCCGCAAGATATACTGCAGTGGCTCCGTACAGGTTGTCGGAGACATCCGTGTCTGGCCAACTCTGGGGCAATCCGGCTTCATCAATGACATGCCTGGTGATTCTTTGGTTCACATCAGCACCTCTTTCTACAAGGATGCGCATCGCAGGTCGGCTATCGCGTCTGAAGGCGTGATAAAAGGGTGTGATTCCTTGCTCTGTCAGTCGGACATTCTTTACCAAAGGGCGATCAACCACGCTTACCTCGATGATCAGGCTTGCTGATGCTGAACCCCTCGTCGAGAAGTATCTTTATCGAAAATTTGTCAACCTCAGAAATGGCCTGGTGAAGTAAGAAAGGGCCTTGGCCAGTTTCAACCAGTCGCTTCGCCAGGGACTGTAGAAGCGGACGAACGCCAGGGACCTCTTCAGAACGTCCTGTAAGTCGTAGCAGTGCCGTGGATGAGTCTCCGATAACGCATCCCTTTTCAGACAAGAGACGGGCCACGCTCAAAGCTTCTGAAGCTAAGGCCAGGCGAAGAGGACTTCGCAGCTCGTAGTCCTTAGCGTTGATGTCGGCTCCGTGTTCAATCAGCAGGTTTGCAGTTTCTGAGTCGTCGGCGATAGCGCAATAATGCAGAACCGTGTAGCCCTGTACAGATCTTGTCGATAGGGATATTCCTTGATTGAGAAGTGTCTCGATAAGGTGCTGATTCCGAGCTCTGACTGCCTCGAGTATGGCGTTGGGATCACTGGCCCAAGGACTCAAGAGCGCTGCCGTATTTGCCGTATCATGGCTCTCGCTCATTGTGGCATTGATACCACCTGCCACGAGCCTGTCATCCGTTGCTGGCTGGAGAAAGCGCCTCATGGAGAATTCGGGGTCGGTGACCTCAGACAGTGACGCTCGTCGGCCGCGCTCCGTTGAAGCGCTTGCGACATCGTCTTCGATACGCCGTTTGACCCTTTTCCCAGCTTCGAAATTTCGAAATTCATTCATGATCTTGACGTAGGCGTCCTTGATATCCGCCCTGATGTCGTCTTGCCCTTTGCCTTCCAGCAGGCTAGCAGACGTATGTATAAGCTTCACGACTTCGCAGAGAACCGACTGTTGTGGATTAAGGATGGCTGGCTTACCCGTTCAATGCCGACAATGTCAGATTCAAACTTGCCTTGCCCTCGTTCAGTCTTGCTCTCAGACCTCGGATCTCACTCTTCCGCATCGTCCACCCGAGTGCGAATCTCAGGGGACTTCTTTTTCCTCCCCCGCCCGTTGACGCCAGCGGCTTGAGCAAGATGTGCATTCCCTGCATAGCTTCCTGGCACATGTCGAGGTAGTCTCCCAACGCGACGGCGAGTGCTTTGTCTTCGCGACAAATATCGTACTTCGTGCACGTCTCCTGCGCCGACGCCAGGACCGCTACGAGAGACTGCACATCGCGTCCGACGGCCGAAATATCCTCGGGCGCATCGCGTATCTCCATGACTAGCGAGTGCAAGCCGCGCGCTGTAGATGCGGCAAATGCCAAGATACCAGTGACGCTTGCCGCGATGGAGAGAGGGTCCATGGCGATGTAGTCTCCGAAAGTGAAGCTGGTCCTCTGCGAATGATGATGAGAGATGCCTACTACTCGATCCATCAAGAGGGGAAAAGATCTATTAAAAATCAATTCGTTCTATGAGTTGATGCGGCTCCTTTTGAGGCGATATTTTGGGGGGGAAGAAAGTTGAGGCAGCCAGCTGCAAACAGGGATCCGGTTAGCGAGGCGGTGCTGCATGAAGGATCTGGTGGCGCGTCACAGCCATGCTCGATTGAGAACTGATAATACCAGGGCCACATGAGAGCTTTCGTTGAAGATCTGCATGCCTACTCTGTCGACACAACAGAGCACATGGCCAACTGGGAAAGGTGAGATAATAACCAGGGACCTACTTGAGGTAAGATACCGTTTTCTGGTGGAGTCGAGTTTCGGCACCGAGTGGGGCCGGCTTGGTCACGGCAACACTGTTCGGACCGGAACTGCGGCACGTCTTGGACGGACCGCGGGTGGAGTTGTCGTCTATTACCTGACCTTGCCTCGAATACCTAGATTGGTACATATTTAGACATCTTGGATATAGCACAAGTGTTGTCGGTGAGGAACCAGTAGCTTCTGGGTGTCTTCTGCAAGACAACTTCGCTGCTATTCTTAAAGATAATCACGCTATGAACATCTAGGCCTCACAGAAATTGAGCGATTATGTACCAGAGGATAGATATATTCGCAAGACCCTAAAGTGAAGCTGGATTACAATCAGAGAGCCATTATGGGGTTTTGGTCATGGCCTCTACCAGAAAAGCTTCCTTTGCAAACGCAACACCGGAAGCGCTCCGAGAACCAGTTTAAAATCCAAATCGTAGTCCTATCCAGCATTGCAATTCTTACACCAGGGCCTTTCAACTTGTTGTTCCAACAAACACCACCAGAACTGCAGAGAATCTATGAATGCGAAAACACATCAGCAAATGGTCACCAGAGAGAGGCGGATACAGGGCTGAACCCTGGCCGGAAATACGCACGCGGCCGTGGCGCTGAAGATATCTTTAACGCTTGCAGATGTTGCCTTGTCAAGCACCAGGGCGAAAAAAAGGGTGAAGCCCCCAATGACGCCCAACCGCACAGGCAACGTTTTGATAAAGTAAAGAGTGATAATTGCGACTATCGGGAACATACAAGCCACGATAGTCTTGAAGGTTCGTGCGACAGACATGATACGTTGGTTCTGGTATACAATAGCGTTTCGCGAATGTTCAGCTTCGTCAGTAGCCTAATAGGTGATGGAAGTGTTAAATCCTCATAAATTATCCCACCGTACAGAGTCAGTCTGGGGTAGGGCGCTTACATGGATGCGATGTCCGATGACTTTATCGTAGTAGTAAAGAAAGCCAAGCGACCACCGGTTTGTAAAACCGTCAGGTGAGCTGGGTTCCATGTTCACGAGGTCAGCCAACTCTGTTGTTTTCCATACATCGCTGTCAATCCCAAGAAGAAATATGTCTCCACGTTTTTGATCGTCCATCCATTCCACAAGAGACTCTACTTGACGACGATGGGGTTGCCTAAACTCAACCATCTGTCTGTGTGCGACCAAGGCCTCTTCTGTTGATTCTTAGTTTGTGCTGAGCGTGCCCAAGAGGCGGCAGCCATTGGGCCTCCACGTCGAACACGCACCCGGGGAGGGGCTGCTAATGCTCAGAGTCCGAGGGTTGACTTACGATATTCCTTTAATTTGCCTCTTAGTTCCAGGAATATCTCCCACTGCCGAGGGTCGTCTGTTTCCGGATCATTCGATTTGATTGACGCTTGCAATGTGGCCGAATCATGCGCATACTCGCTCCGGTTGGTTCCCTTAGCCGCAGAGTTGTCGTTCTTCTGGCACTCCCACAGCTCATCCCTTAGCGCTACAATTTCTGCTTGGCGGTGTAGAAGAAGCTCTGCCGACAACGCGTTGAAGCGCATGAAAATCGCCAAGTCTGGCTGCTGGCCCATGGCAGCCGCAAGGCGGGAATAACCCCTCGTCTCTCTCTCAGCCCTTCCATCTCTGTTTCCTCTCACCTTCTCATCCTCCTGTTGCATAGATTCCAGGTCGACGGAATGAAGTGGGACTGTTGAATGGGGGGACATGACAAGCCATCGAAGGTTGCCAAAGGATGGACTGAGTGTGTGTGTTGCTACCGAAAAAATCGCGACGGACATGTGGGGGAATTGCGGAGGCGGACGGGGATATAGTACTATTGCATAGAGCCGGGAGGGAGAGATTCCCCCATCATCATCCTTGATCACATGAGAGAGGCATGGTACTGATTGGTGGCCAAAGTTGGTGTGAGACAGCCCAGACATCCAAAACATAGAAGAGGTGTGGCATGTTGCACTGATTCAGCCTAGCACACACCCTTCTCTCGGTCACCATTTGTGGTAACCCTCCATTACGATTCATGGTCGCCAACAGGGAGGCTGCCTGCAGCTTGATAGCCTGCACCTACCCCCATGCAAATGATTCCCTCACCGTACATGGGCCATTCTTTTCTTCCGTTCTTCGCGGCACGGCAAAACCTGTGGCGTCCCTCATCGCACCAGGCTGGGGCCACGAATTCTATTTGCGAGTGCCAGGTCACAAGATGCCGACAACCAGTACAAAAAAACAGGGCTAAGCGAGTTGCATCGCTTGGCCACCACTTGCTCGAAGGCAGAGGCATTCGCGATCAGTTAGGAGGGTGTCGAAACTGCCCGATGGGCTTGTTGGGCATTGGAGCCAGCCTCGCTGGCCGACTTCGTGGGTTTCTTATATACGCCCGACAGCCCTGTCATTGACAGTAGCGCGTGATATGGTACTCTTCTGTTTCGTCCTCGCCTGACAATCCTTCAACTGCGCAAAACAGTCCATTCCGCAGCTGTGAGCAGCCGTCTTCCTGTCTTGCCACGCAAACGGCGACAACGCATGTTGACAACGCATGTTGGGTAGATAGGCTTGCGTCGTGAAACTACCTACGTCGACAGCACCGCCGACAATATCAGAAATATGAGTAAACATAGTGCTGCGGCTTCCACAGCGACAATGAGCCAAAGCCAACGTCGCCAGGAATCTCGACACCGTCATTCGTCGACATACGATATGGGAGAAGGTCAAGAGCAAACCCAAAACACAGATAGCCTAGACTTTGTCCAAACACGGGAAGATGAGATGAACAGCATTCCACCGGCGCAATCCTTCCGATCGTTGGCTATTCGGCGGCGGGAGCCCTATGAACAGCATCAACACTTTCTTGACCCGCCTGCTCCATTCACGAACCCACATCCACGGGCCGCCGCCTCACTCACCGGGTCATCGGATTCGGGGTACGGCTCATCGTACCCGTCGTCGAATGGTGCAAACTATGTCCCGAGACGCTCTGCTGGCCACCCCTCTCAATATGGCATTATCGACAATGTTTATAATGCACCCCAGAACTTTGACGAATACCCGCCCGAAACCACAACCTATGGATTCAGTAGCTCACCCTACGAAAGGCACAATGATACAATTCGGGCAGGCCTGTCGTATCCTTCGGCAGCCATTCCTCGGCAGACTGCCACGCCTCAGGTCCCATTCCACTCTTTGATTGCCTCCCGAGACACTCCTCCGTCGTTGTGTGCATGCGGTCCTTCGTGCCCAACCGATGCGTGTCCATGTAATCTCGAGTGCGACTCTCACGTCGCAGGGCCGAAACAAGAGGAAAATCAAGCCTGGTACGAGGCGCAGGCCTACAGCTACCCCTCAGCGGGCGGCGAGGAAGTCCCAGACCCCAGTGTGAGTCGTCCGAAGAGATGAGGCGGACGCACGTCTCGGGCCGTCTGTTCACCGCTAAATCCCAAATCACCAGTCAGGCTATTCGCAGCGTGGGCATGCATCGAAATCCAGCAAGCGATCCTCTCACAGGGCGTCGCGCAGCGGCACCACCAAAACGCTGCCCAAGGGCTGCCCGAGCGAGTTTGTCGTCTTCCTGCCCAGCAGTCCGGGTTCCTCGGAGCCCTACGTTGCAGCCCGTGCCGTCATTGACCCCGACTACCATGGCGACCCCCTGCTCAGCAACGCCCTCTTGCCCCGCGTTGGCAACGTCTTGGTCGATTGTCACGAATTCGTGCCCTTCACGGGCGAGCCCAACTCGGAAGACATCGCTCGGCCACTGCAAGAAAAGGTGAAGCCGTCGGGCTGGGGGAGCTTTGACTACAAAGCCGCGAGAACCGACGGCAGTTACGCATCTCTGAGAGACAAGTTTCAGTTCTTCGAAGGTAAGCTAGCAGAGCAGACTGATTTGGTTTTCGGAGCCAACTGGCCATGCCCTGAAGATCTGATGCTGCAGGTGTTCATTTTCGGGCATGGCGGAAAAAAGGACGAGGGCAAGTATCCCCAGTGCTTCACAGTCGCGGCGACCCAGATCGGTAGATTTCCAGCCCGAATGCTGTCTCTGTAGCTGACACACTCGTCTTGCAGCTGATGAGCGGGCGCAGAAAGCCAGGGACGACGAGAGGGAGGCGAGAAGGGGGGAGAAGAGGGCAGAACGCGAGAGACGCAAGGAATCCGACCGCAAGAAGAAACGCGTGTCAACAGTGCCGGAAGAGACAGAAGCTGGGCCTTCAGTGCCGAGGGAGCGGCGTGCACGGTCAAGGCTTGTGAATGTCGAGACGCCTGAGCTTTCGGGACAGAACTATGAAGGTCCTTTTGAAGATGAGACGCAAGGTGAGGAAATGCCACCGTACGAAGAGACGGAGACGAGGCCAGAAGGTCGATCTCGTAGCCATCATGAACGAAGATCTGCAGACAAGCACGGTAAAAAAAGCCTGGGCTTCGGTCTATTTAAGAAGCATAAGTAGGTAGGAGAGCACGGCCTGCTGGACGACATTGCTCTTCCACACGGCAAGATGCATACGGCCAGACCACGATCAAAATATACCCAATTATATCATTACACCTTGGCGTCAAGCCCTTCGTTTTCTCTGCACGATAACATCGAATCGTGTACGTCTGAAATGGTCAGGTACGCCTTATTCTGCTGGAGGCTTCTCAACTCCCGAAGTACTTCTGTAGGTCAACTCAACCCCAGGGATTGCGCCACCCCCTGAATCGGCGAGGCTCCGAAAACACACTTGGAACGAGATGGTCTCATCTCCGACGTGCCACGATGAGCGACATCAAATATCGCCCGTGTCATTTCTTTTGCTGGTAGAGGGCACGGCAAGCGCCTAGCAACGATGAAGCTGAGAACGCCTCAAAAACAAGGAAGTACTCTAGTCTCCCGCCTCCAATCACCAATTTTAAGGCAGCCAACCTTTTGAGAGAACAGCCCAAAACCCGAGGCCCGCGCAAGGGATTGGATGATATGTCCGACGAGATGACAGGGGGCTGCTGGTCTGGTCCACTGTTTGTCCAACGGGAAAGTAAAATCGCTGCTATAGCTGCTGCGCCTTCAATTGCATGTTAGCAACAGCTTGGTTGGGCAGACTACCTGTACTTTGCCTTCGAGGACATGGAAACAATGATCAATGACATCTATTTCTTTCCACGTCTATCAACATTAAGCAGGGCCGTTCTAGCACGCAAGCGGCGCTATACCAATCATCTACAAGTAGGTCGCCCACAGAGGGGTTCCCTCTACATCAGCTTGGAGCCGTCTGGTCCATCCATCACTGATGTAGCCACTCATTTCCATCCGCCCGAATGTCAAGAAAATGAAGAACAATGCGGAGCCAGGGCTTCATACCATGGCCAACCCCGTACTCCGTGCTGCATATCTCATGCTTTGTCGCCTCATCGCCAAAGTCCTTGCGATAGGATCACTTGGCACTCTCAGGGATTTGTCCCTCCACTGCACTCAGCGCGGCAAGATTGACCTGGCCGAAATGCTCGTGTGCCTCGCCACTCGGGCCTACGCCAGCAAGAAGCGCCGTGCATTCAATGACATCCGAAGGCTCCAGTAGGTGCCAGCGCGCCAGGGTCACCTTGGTGCTGGCCCCCACGGTTACCGTGAAAACGTGTTCGTTCTCGACCTCGTTGCCCGACATGCCGTTCAGCGAGCGGAACATGTCTTCGTCGGTAAAGTCGTCGCCCAAGCAGAAGACGAATTCAACCCTGCCACCGTGTCCTTCGGCTGCGCTCTTCTCGTTGTAGGTGTGTACGAGGCGTTTCGCAATCTCGCCCTTGTTGATGAATGTTGGGCGGACCTCAAGGTTGGCCTTACCGACCATGACCTCGACCTCCCACTTCTTGGCCACTGTCGTCTGGAGCTCGTTTTGGCAGTCGCGGGCCATGTGGACACCCTGTTCAGGGTCCGCCAGGCGATAGTGCCATGTCACGGCACATCGCTTGCGTTCGATGAAGGCACCTATGCGGGTCAGAACAGGAGAGACTCGATCGTAATCCGGCAGGCAGTGCTTACCTGGCACACGGTCGGTGTATCGCTGGAACACGTCGATGACCTCGGTCTGCCAGCCCATGTCAAATTCATCGGCAAGGTTAATCCAGTCCTCGGAGCCGGGGTCCTTCAAGAAACTGCCATGCTCGGCACTGAAACCGAGGCCGTGGATGTGTCCCAGGTGCTGCGACAGAAACTCCTGATCGCGCCCCGAAATGATCCAGACAGCGTTCTTCGGGTCGGCCGCCAGCGCCGTCAGGGTGTGCAGCACACGCTCTGAGGGAACTGCGGCGCTCGGCTCGCGCACAATGGGGGTCAGGGTGCCATCGTAGTCGAACATGATGAGACGCTTCTTGGCATCGCGATAAGTCTTGAGCATCAAGGTGCGGTCAAGCAGAGGCGTCGAGGCGACGCTCTTCTCGCTGGCCATGACGTGAACAAGTCTGTCAACAAGATTGTCAGTCCAGCTCTGTACGTTGCGCGTTGTCACGTGGTTGTAAAGGCTCTGCTGCATCGCCATGCGCTTGTCGGCTGACATGATGAGGGCGTTGTTGATATCCCTGGCAACACCAGTAAGATCCCATGGGTTGATGTGGATGGCGTCCTTCAAGCTGCCAGCGGTACCGCTGAACTCGGAAATAATCAAAGGTCCATGGCTGTCGCGCTGGCAAATGACGTATTCCAGACTCGTCGTGTTCATGCCGTCACGCACCGACGTGATGAGACCGATGTCGCCAGCACGAAGAAGCGCAAAGTACTCATCAGGGGTGAGATACTGCGGGTAGTGCTGAACCGGTGAGAAGCCCAAGCTTCCGTACATGCCATTGATCCTCATCACGAGCTCGTTGACACGGGTCGCAATCTTGCTTTTGCTGTCGTTGTCCTCCTTCTCAGACTCGAGACCGGTGGGTGATGTGACTTGGATGAGGACGACCTTCTCGCGCCATTCGGGGTAGACTTCCAGGAAGCGCTCGAACGCCTGGAGCTTCTGTGCAACACCTCTGACGCTATCGAGGCGGTCACGACCAACAATGATCTTTTTTCCATGATACATCTTCTTGAGGGCGTCATACTTTTCGGTGACAGCTTCAGACCAGGCATATGACTCGCACTTTGCAGCGGCAATGCCAATAGGAAAGACGCCGACATGGACGCGAGCTCCGTAGGCATCGACTCCAAGGTTGTCGGATGGGAACCCGAGAATGCGTGTGCAGCAGCTTGAGAAATGACGCGAGTAGCTGTACGACTGGAATCCGATGAGGTTGGAGCCGAGGACACCCTCAAGAATCTCCTTACGCCGGGGCAGACAACGCAAGAACTCGCTACTGGGAAAGGGCGAGTGCAGGAAGAACGCGATGTAAATGTTGGGAATACGCTGGCGAAGCATGCTGGGGAGCAACATGAGGTAGAAGTCATGAATGACAACAATGTCGCCAGCCCTGTACTGCTCAATGACCTTGTTGGCAAACTTTTGGTTCATGCGATAGTAGTCGGCCCAATTGATGCGCTCTCGGCGGCCGTCGGATGGCTCGTTTTGTTTGTAATGGAAAAGCGTATAGAGATCGTGTTCAGCATACCGCCTCCATCGAGCTTGGTCCTTGAGGTGAATTCCCTCGTCGGTGCTTTCATGGTCGTCCGACAGCCAGACTGGCACGGTTTTGATGATCTTATTGTGCGAGAGTTGTTCCTCAAGTCGCAACTGGTCTTTCTTGGAAACCCAGATTCCTTCTGATACTGGAGGCGTTGGCAAGCGCGTGGTGCCATCGATAGGAACGGGCGCAGAGAGCGAGCTTAGTCCAGGCATATGCACCGTCGTTGTTGGCGGTGTTCCCGGGGGTGATACAACATCTTGTGAGACGTCAATCTCACCAGTCCAGGCGACAACGGTATGGTTCCAGGGTGTTGCTTCGGAGGAAAGGTGTGTGAAAGACTCGAAGAGGGCAGATTGGCCGCGGCGGGGTTTTAGCTCCTGTTTTGTTCACAACAACGTCAGCATGGGGTCTTCAGCATTTTGTTCTTTTTTGGGACATTGAACATACCCAATCGGAGCCCTGGTGATATTTGAAGGAGTGGGGGATATTGAACGTGGCCGAGATGATATTCCCACTCAAGGGGAGGTCAGGATTCGCATTGCGGACGTCGTCGATAGATTGACGGCGAGCCATGGTCTCGAGCGTCAGAAGCTGCAAAGCGTTCACCTCTTCTGTATTTTTGGCAACGGCAGGAACAGCGGCGCTTTGGCGGTAGGACTGCGGATTGTGATGGAAATAGCTTTGCGGTTCCTCGCTCGGGGAGTCGTAGGTCTCGAGATGGATGCCGGGGGTGGCAGCGTAGGCGGCGGCAGCAGCACGAGAGGAAAGACCGCGGACGGGCGACTCACTGGGATCAGTCGCGTTGGAGAGGCTTGAGGGAGACGCCGGTCTGTTCGGGTCGAGGCCGTGGCCAAGCTGATAAGATGGGTTCTGTGTCATGGTGGATGTGTTAATCAGAGGACGACCAACTCGCGCACACAGTGAAGTTGAGAAGTGCAGGATGCAGTGATGGGACTCGGCCAGGAAGGTTCATAAGTCCCGAGGTTTCCAGTCCAAGGGGGTTGGTATTATTTGGTGAATTTGCAGGCCAATACGCCGTCAGCCAGAATGGGTGACCAGGCTGTGACGCAACAATCAGAGGCCGCGGAAGCCTTTGGTGGGATGGCGGTGGGACAAGATAAGGAGCGGCGGAGGGGTACCCGATGTGACAAGTCATTCCTCAGCCGACAACAGGAAGAGACTGACAGCGTAAACGTCAAAGGGCTCTGACAGGCGTTGCCGGCTTGACGCGTTACCCCGTCAAGATGGCTGTCCTCGATCGATTTGCGGATCATCCAAAGTGCGCCAGGACCATTTGCTCCTGAAAATGGGCTGGACCTTTGCGCGCCCTGGGGCCTTGTCTCTTGGCGGACAAGAGGTCCTTGAGGGCCAGGGCAATCTTTAGTCGATGTCCCCTTGACGCGTGGCAAAGCAATTGGTCAAAGTAGGCTCTGGTAGCAAGTTTCCTGGTCAAATTGATCGGAGGTCGGCAATGGGTCACCGTGGGCGATGCGGCCTGTTGTCTGCATCCTGCGGCGGTTCTGGTCCTGCGGCGGTTTTGGTCCTGCGACAGCGGGATTGGCTCCAGAACTTGGTTCCTGGATTTCCTGGGCCCTGGATCTGTTCCTCCCTCCTGTGTGACCCGACAAAAGATGGATTGGTCGGGCCAGGCGCGTCAAGCGGGAGCCTGCGTCGGTCGATTGTTGGAGCTTGGGAGAGCTTCGTAGAGCTCGAGATGGGGTGAGGGGCAGTGACCAGGGGATGGAGGGGTAAGGCAACTGAGAAGACCGCCTGGGGCACAGAGAGCTGAGCGGGTGGTACTTACGTCTGGAAATTGGGATCGCGGGCTCAGAGTTGGTGAACAGTCCAGCGAGAGAAGGAGAGGGCAAAGACAGCTGTATAATGGAAGGAACAAGGGCAGGATGGTGAATTGAATAATCCAATGAGGTTGTATTGAGGGAAAAACAGGAGGAGGAGGCACGCACGACGATGACCAGGCCACAACAAGGGCAGCAGCTGCCTGTGATGTGCACGTCAAAGAAAGCTAGGACGCGACCAGCGAGACGAGCCTGTGGCACCGGCCGGCGGCAGGCACACGGACCACCACACCACACCACGTCAGCACTGTTGCCAGTCGGATGAGTGGGTGGCAGGGTGGGCATGGCGCCTGCCCTGCTGGGCCCCTCGCTCCGGGTCCTTTGCAACTGGGGCTTCAGGCGCCGTTCTCGCTACTAACGCGCTAACAGCACGCTAAAAGCATTCAAGCTCATCAACCCCTCTTTTCCTCGCCCACTCGTCAGTTCTGGCCAGCTGCTTTGCATCTCTGCCCACCCGTGTTGCCGTGCTGTCCTGCTGTACTGCAGCAGTCTTGTCCGCGGGACATGGAAACAACATGACACTGAAAAGACGGTGAAGAACTCTCGCAGAGAAAAGGGGAACGCGCAGCAACAGAACAGCGGACGAATGGCAGCCCAGAAGAGGCCCCGGCCCAGCCCGACGACAACACCACCCACCCCCGCGGACAGCCCGAGAATAGCCCACGATCGTGGTGCCCCAGATGGCCCAGATGGGATGAACAAAACCCAGCTACTGCACTACCGTGGACAGTATGTGGCTCCGCCCATCGGAGATGACCCATCTGGTGGTCAACGGGTTCAGCTCGCGGCCTGCTCCTACGCCTGAGAAGGCCCGTCCTACCGCCGAGTTTCGTCGACAGCAACCATCATGTCCCTCAGCCCGCTCAGTCGTCGAGCTCCGCAGTCGAACTGTCATCGTGAAAAGACCAAAGGGGCATCTCGCTCTCTGCTTCCGGCGCCGTACTTTGCTCGATACCATATCACACCTTTGGATCCCACCGCAGAAACACCGCATCAGATATCAGCCCAACCCGATGAGCCATTTATCAACATCAGAAACCCAACTGATATGATCCCCCTCCTCAAGCACCTTTCTCCCTCTCCAGGGCCGCACATGGCGCCTGTCGCGGGCTACCAATGGCCAAAATGCTCGGTCCAACCTCGCTGTGCGATGTTTTCCTGTGCATACCCATTTGACTTTGGATGCAGCCACCTCACGTGGTCCGGCTGCAGGTTTCGGAGTCTCGTCCCGGCACGAGTGACGTGCACTTTGCCTGCTCTATCTTTAATGTATCTGCATATGGAATGAACGTCTAGCGACGAAAGTACCATCTCTGTCGACGCGCCAATCTTGCTGGAATAGAAAACCTTGGACGCTCCGTGCACTGAACGAAGATAAGTGTGGCCGGCTCCCGACCACCTTGCATGGACCGACGCTGCAAGGAACCCCTGATCGCACATCCGTTGATCATTCTGAAGCCTGCAACAGGGACACCCGTCTTGCACTGTCGATCATGGCCAAGTCTCGCCAGACATGTTGTCCTTGGCAGCTGAGAGTCAGCATGAACCCCAGGGCGCCACGAGAAGTGCAGGCTCGACAAGCCGACTGATTGATGATAGTGAATTTTACATACAACAACAGACAATTACTCACACTGCACCTAGACACGTGCAAAAACAAGTTACAATGATGGAATTTCACGCGTATTGCAAAAGCACTTTTGGCATTGTATCGTCACAACTCTGAACCCGAGATGATCAGTAATGCACTCAGAACTCTTGTGATGATTCGTGACGCCACAAACAAATCCTGGTGCCTGCATCACTCCAAGTCTTGCCGATTCCATGCCAAAGCCCCAAGCTTAATACTGCAGTTTTGACACGCGGTCCTTAACCATGACCTTCATGAAGTCCCTGGCAAATCGCGGCTCCTTGTCAATGAAGCTCAGAAAATGAGGGGAGCGAATCAGGGTATGTCTGCAGTTAAGCTTGTCCGTGGACAGCCGCATCATCGCCTTTTTAAACTCGTTCTCGTCGCTGTCAGCCCACTGCTTGTAGACGCAGGCCATGGCTCGTTCCCAATCATCTCCGTCAAAGGGGTATACCCAACTGCGAAGTGGACCATGAATACGAAGCCACGGACGCCTTCGGGCAACACTTTGTCGGAAGCGTGGGTCCCACTGACAGGTGACGGCTTCGATAGCACAGTCACAGAGACCAGGCACGAGAAAGTAGTCGCCGAGAGCGAAGAGTTGGGCGGCCGTGTGTAACACCGTAGTCTTAGACTTGAGCTCCTCGAGTTCACAGACTATGCAGTCTCAGTACGAACCAACACACAGTCACTGCATACAGCTTGGGAATTACGTACCTCCAGTATAGACGAAACTGATGAGCCACTCAATTTGCTCCTCAGTGAACTGATCTGTCGATAAGGTAATATTACCGCTCTTGGCCTCCTGGGGCTGGGTTAGACCGTGTTCGGGTTTGACAGAGTCGAGACACTCACAGGCCAGTGGCCCATGAAGGCACGTTCGAAATATTTGGATCGTAGGCAGATGACCGATTTATGAAGCTTCCAAGTCTTGCTGCCCAGGACAATCTCACAGTCGGCGAAGAAACCCGAGGTCAGGAGTCTAAAGGCACCAGTCAGTGAGGATGCAGGAGATTTGCAAGGGCCTCGTGGAAGCATCGAGACAGAGACAGGACTTGGAAATAGACTGGTGTCAAGGGTGACGGACTCGGCGAGCAGTGGCTTACCTATGGTCGCTCAGCATGAAGCGATCAGCATCGTCCGGAGACGAAAGCTCGCTTCCATCAACAGTGTCCTTATCATCCATGACGCGGATTTCCGACTGATTCTTAAACCCCAGGTAATATCAGGGCTTGGTTGGGAAGATGAACAGCCGCGAAGTAGAGAAGTATTCCGTGGTCATTCGGTCGTCAAGCGTTTTAACCAGGGAGCTGAGTTGTCTTCAAAGTGTCCGCGCACGACGCGTCGTCACAGCGTAGTCAGTTGCCTCTGCAAGGGGGGTATCGTGCACCGAATCAGTGGGATCCCCACGAGTGTAGTTGACTAAGGCGGGACGATGTGAAAGGAGGATTGGAGAATAACGCTGTGAACGAGGACGCAGATCTCGCGGCCAGAGGCCAAAAAGAATACCAAAGTGATGCAGTACCAAGGTATCGTTCTGAAAGTTGCACGACCGCGGAAGGTGGAAGGCGCGTCTTGATATGGTGGGTTGCGGTTGCCACGAATTGTATCACTGGTGTCCAGGCAGCTAGCTCCACATTCACAACGATCAGTACCACTCAGGGAGACATGTTATTCTCTTTGAAGTGTTTCCAGTTCTCCCAGGTAGAAGTCCCTTTATAAGAACTCCATGTCTTCCATGCGCCCAAGTCATGATATGAACTTCACAAGATACATCACGCCACAGCCAAGCTACCGCATCATGGAGTGCAGCACAACAGAAGGATGGGCTTGTCATTTAAGAAGAATCTGCATCACCTTCCGAGGTTATTCACCACGCTCCCTACCATGACGGCCACCTCCCTCTCCCAACTACCTTCTCTTGCCTTCTCCCCCTTGCCCTTCATGGCGCTAGGTGTTCGGCACCCCTTGACGACACATTCTCGAACAGCCTCTCCAACGCCTTGCTTATTTGTCTTGAGAGTTCGTGCCGACACGCCACCGCGGTTCATGATATCCTGCACCCTAGTTCCCAGACTGCTCGCCATCGTCCTCCAAAAGTACGATGGCAGGCTTCCAGTTTCAAGATGCGCCAGAAGAGGCTGCAGCAAGTTCGATGGCGCCTTGGCCTGGGTGCCCTCGATTTGCACGAGGGGATGCGCAGGCGGCCTAGTACTCTCCAGCACCAATTCGAGCGCCACGATGTTTTGGCAACGAGCAGTAATCTCGGCAAGCGTGCGATCGAGAATCGGCAGCTGACTGAGGGCGCGCGCTAAGGATGCTATGGAGCTAGAGAGGGCGGTTCGGAAGTACGTCTCGAGTGCCTGTAGAAGGAGAACGGGTGTCCATTTCTCGGGCTTTGGCTGCGCGTGGCTCGTGGGCGACAGTAGGTACAGCGTGGTCATGGCAGAGACGGTACGGGATTTGATGTCCTCGCTCTGAGAAAATGTTGCCATGTCTGGAACAGAGAAGTCACGCACAATGCGCTCAGCCGTCTCTTTCACGGAGCGTTCGAGCGGGGTGACAATGTTCTCACGGAGACTCTTGATCGCGTCCACACGATGAAGACCATGGCCCTCCTCGCCGGGAGCCGTCGCGTCGAAGACCTCCCGCAGAGACAAAATGGTGTGTGCGCAGCGGACTAAGGCCCTGTGATCCTCCCTTTTGCCAGCCGCAGCTGCTGCGGCACTGATGCTCGACCCGGCAATCTCTGTGTATTGGACCTCAAGCTGGCGCCCCAGTTGCAAGCACCGTCCGACAGAGCGTCCCAGTCTCAGGGTTTCCCAGAGGCGCATGGCGACTTGGCGCACCTCGTCGGCCTCGGCATGCTTGTTGATGACCTCCTTCTCAAGCTGCTTGTAACTGTCGTTCAGAGACTTGATCTGAGCATCGAGCTCGGAAACAATGCGCTTGCTTGACTTGGTCTGACTGTCGGTGTGTTCAAGAAGTGGAATGGCAGATTTGGTCGTCAAGACATCGATGTGAGAGTCGACTTCCTGGGTGTCGAAGAGAACCCGGGACAGAGGCGTGCTCAGGTCGAGGGGAGTGTCGTTGGGGTTGTTGGTGGATAGCACGAGCGTATTGGCAAATGCCGAGGGCTTGAAATCGGGGGCCAGGAAGGCCTCATAGTCGATGTAAGAGGGATCTTCCTCGTCCTGTGAGGTCATGGTGGGCGAGTGGTGTACTTCGGAGCTTGGGCCTGCCCATTGAACTCACTGACGTTGCGTTGTGGAAATATTGTTCGAGGGCAAGAGGTTACAAAAGAGCTTCCCCAACGGCCCTCGTGTCGAGTTGGGACCCCATGTCGCAGACACACCAAGACGGCATGGTGGGGTTGTGGCTTGACTTGCTTGAGTACCTTTTTAGATGGCTGAGCCACACAGTGGAAGGGAGGGAGTGGAGGGATGGCTTGAGCTGGGCACGTGCATGAGCATGACGAAAGGCGGGCATAGTGGGGTTGAAACATCGCTTTACTGCATCCGCCGCCTCCGGTGGGGCTCGGCATTTATCGACCGGCCGGATGCGCTGGAGAAAAATGGAGAGAGCGAATGCGAGGTGGCAGGCCTGACTAGCTTTTGTTATTCCCATACTTTTTGCCATCACCTCCCCAAGCTCCGAGTGGCTCAGGCATCTGACCTCACCGAATCCCGATTTTTTATCTCTCGTGCCGGCGACTCCGTTCCATTGACAATGATCGCCTGTCCCGACCAGTAAATCTTCTCACCTACCTACCTAGGTATCCTACGATGTCTTAATCCTCCGACTCTCTCGCGTCGGCGTCTTCAATCGCGCGTCCTCCAACAGCGCTCGTTCGATTTCGAGCCTTTGCAAGCCTCGTACCAAGCCGTCAGCGTCAGCAAGCAGCCGTCACTATACAGTACAGCCAGTATCCCACCTACTGGAACCTTGGGGCTTGGCCTTGCCTTGGCTTTACCCGTCCGAAAAAAAACCCCGGTCGTTTCGACGACAGCCCAACGACCATCATGGATCTCCTCGAAGTACGCGACCTCCTCGAGTTCCCCGAGGGAAACAATGCCAGCGACACTGTCATCAATGGCGTCCACTTCAACCTCACCACTCTGCTGCACTTCAACTTTACCCTCTACAGCAATGGCACGCTTTCCAATGGATCCCGATGCATCCTGACCGACGGCGACTACACACCCGACTACGTTTGGACGAACGGCAGCTTTATCAACTCGACATCTTGCTATAACCCCGTCGACCCCATAGGCGACCGCGCCATCGCCGGCATCGTCTTCGCCGTCCTCTTTGCCTTCTGCCTCGTTCTCGTGCTCATGAACCTGAAGAAGCATGGCACCTTACACTTGCCCGGCGAAAAGCGTTTCACCCCCATTGGCCGGCGATGGCAGTGGTACTGGAGCATCTGGGTCATCGCGATGGCCGTCGTCAGTCTCTTCACCAATGTTGATGTGGACCGCTTCCGTGTCATGGGCCTACCGATCATTCTCAACAGCTTCTTCTGGTACTTGATGCAACAAGGCGTGCTAGCGCTCGTTTGGGAGGCGGCACGTCACTGGGGTAGTTGGCAAGAGCGGCAATTCATCGACCCTGATCCTTTTGTGCTGCGAGAGGACGACAGGCGCGCCAAGTTTGAGTTCTGGATGCCTTTGGTGTTCTACCTCTTCATCTGGCTCAACTTCTTCATGATCATCCCCCGCAACTGGGGCAAGATCGAGCTGCAACGCACGCCTCAGCAGATCGAGGACAAAGCTGGCCCCGCGGCGACCGACGTCCGCTTCAAGGTCGCCGCGCTCTTCCTCTTGTTCTGCTGGATCATCATCGCTGTATCCCTCCGCCACTCTGTCAAACACTACAAACCTCGCAACCGCGGAATCATCAACAAGGCGATTGGCCTCGTCAAGTACACCCCTCTCCGCTTCCGCCTACTGCTACCCCTGGCACTCGTTGTTGTCGGTTTCCAGGCCTTTTGCGCCTTCACTTTCGACTACTCTGTACTCAACGCTCAGTCGAACCTCGCATCCGTCTATGTGGGCGGCTATGTACCGGCCCTCCTCATTCTCGTTGTTCAGATTACTTGGGGCTTCCGCACCCCGAACGAAGACAAAGAGCTCATCCGTCAGCGCCGGACCCGTGGCCAAGGGTACGATCGCGAGATGGGTTACGTCCAGAAGCCCAGCTGGTGGCGCCGGGGCAATAATGCCATGCGCCATGACCAAGCTGGGACCGACAGTGGTGCGACTTCGCGCGGCGTCAAGCACGCACGCATCAAGGAGATGCGCAATGCTGAACGTCACCGCGGCCTGGTTGAGCTGAGGGATCTGACCAAAAGCGGACCCGGTGGTGGGCCAAATTCGGCGCGTCGACAGTCGGAAGTCAACCTCCTCGACGGGTCGAAGAAACCCAGCGCTGACGCGTCATACATGGGCAAATCCGACAGGCGACGGACGGAGCATGCTAGGAACGCTGCCGCCGACCTGCTCTTCCCCGCTGCAGGCGGACAGTCTGCCAGTGAAGCACAAGCTGCCAGGAGAGCAGAACTGATGATGGACGGACCGGCGCCGCCACCGTACGCGGGGCAGCAACGGGGCCGTGGAGAAGGCGACGCCGCGACAGACGCGACAACCGCGACAACCTCGCCGGGTGGCGCGGCGAGAAGTCCCAGTGCCAATACGGGAACTTCTTCTGCACCACCACAGAAAATCAAGAGCATGTTGGACGTATAGACCTTGGGCTGTTCATGGGTTTCCCTTTTTTCACTACACTCAAATACTCTACGACTTGGCCATTCATTTTGCACTGGGTTGGAGCTTGGAGCGGCTCTGCTGGGATTTGACGGGACACGGCCGTCCTACAACATGGAGCGCCATTCACTTTCGCGCACGTATGTACTATTCATTCATGTTAATACTATTCACCTGTGTGGTACCAACTACTACTATCCACTTGCTCTACCGCCAACCTAGGATCCAAGATGGAGCCATCTGCGCCGACCTTGCTACAGAGCCCACCATTTTGCCAGGATGCGACGTTGGGCCGCCTCTGTTTCTTCTTTTCCCTTGAGACGCGCCTCCATCTCAATGTGCCCCAGTTGACGTCTGAAGTATGCATCTCCGTCAGGACACCGGGCCACGCTGCTTTCTGAGCTGCCTCCACACCACGCCCTCCACCGTCGCCACAGTCATATAAGTCGGCTCAACTCGACGACCAGGAGACGGACAAAAGGGTAATCAACATGGACGGTGTCTGTGAATATACTCGGGCTAGCAGCCTTGATGGTCCAGCTGGAGCGCCACGCCAGGCAGGCGTGCGGGGTCCGATCCATAGCGTGCAGGCGATTCAGCCAGGTCTAATGTTAACGCCTGTCTGTCATAACGATGTACTCCTGAGCTGTCAATCAGCTTGTTCAGTGTGCCTGAATCACGGCAAGACTTTGAGCATACCGATGCTGCTTCTCTACCGTATCAATGGACAAGTAGAGTCGTTGATATATGAGCGCTGGCCCCGTGAAGACTGCAGTCTGCCACCCCATCGCAGCTTTTCGCTACCGCGGTGCTCAATTCTTAACTTTTTCCAGCAGAAGCCGTCTCTTACGGAACAAACGTCATGCCCATCGCCAAGTTCACCACGTGTCTCTGGTTCGACGGCAACGCCGAAGAAGCCGCCCAGTTCTACGTCTCCATCTTTCCAGATTCGAAGATCACGCATCGACAATACTACACCTCGGCCGGCGAGGCCCACCACGGCCAGAAGCCCGGCAGCCTGCTCATCATCGAGTTTGAGATGAACGGGCAAAAGTTCGCGGGTCTCAACGGCGGGCCGCACTTCCACTTCGACGAGGCCGTCTCGCTCATGGTCGACTGCGATGACCAGAAGGAAATCGATTTTTACTGGGCGAAGCTCGGCGACGGCGGCGATGTCAAGAGGCAGCAGTGCGGGTGGGTGGCAGACAGGTATGGGTTGGCGTGGCAGGTCGTGCCCAAAGTGCTGAAGACGATGCTGGCGGATCCGGACCGGGAGAAATCAGACCGCGTTATGGAGGCTATGATGCAGATGACGAAGATGGATATTCGAGGTTTGGAACAGGCGTTCAAGGGAGAATGAAACTGAACTATGCTCTATCAGATATTTTGGCCTCGCAAGGAGCACACGCTTGGTGAATCCAGTCAGATACTACAAGGCCAACGTCGAGCTTCGTCTTTGCAAGACATGAAGCGTGGGTCTGCGTGTTGCTATGTATAGTCTGGTGGGCGCTTCGAGAGATGGCGGAGAGTAGTTGACAAGAACGCAATTTGTTTGCTGTGGAGAGGATCGATCTAATACAAGGGTGTCAACAGTTGGCCATGCCTTTGAGGTCATACAGAGCATGTCGGGAGGCATAAGAACATGGTGGTCGGTCCTTTGTACGAGCATTGGACTTGATGTCATCAATATCCCACCAAATTTGTGGATGAAAAGAACCGGAGACTCTTCAAACCGACTGTGACAGTTTCAGTCCTCAGCATTGGCATCATTGAAACCGGGGAGGGCAGAAAGGTGTGGCTCCGCGATAAGTTGATTAGGGGTGGCTGATCAGTGAAACGGACGTTAGTTAGACGCGTCGTGAGGACCTCGAAGGTGCTCACATCATGAATCCTACAGCCCACGTTCAAGGACCTATCTTTTTCTCGAATGACTGCTTCATTGCCCTGATCAGATGAGGTCTTCACTGGCCCTACTTCATCATAGACTTAGCAGACAGCTACAAAGGTATTGTAGGATCGTTGAAGACTGTTATAGTAGTGACGAATAAAGGAATACGCAACAATACATGGTGGATTGCGAGGCGGCCGGACGATGATACTAAATCGTCGACTACGACGGCAGACTTAATCATATACGGGAAGCAGTGCACTAATACGCTTCGTAGGTGATGAATGAAGCTCAAGCCTTGATACACTTGTATACCAAGACTATAGCCGAGTCTTGTGCCTTACAGGAACCTACAGCAGCCATTTTGCAGCCTTATGCGTAACATGTTGATGCGCACTGATGAGGCCATTTCAACGTGGAAGCAACAAATCATGGGCGCCGCAGAGCCCTGACCAGAACGCATGTGCGTTTCCGGTTCCAGAAACCACCCGCAAATCAGCGCCATGGAACTAAAGCAGTGTATCCAATAACCACGTCGTCCACAGGCCACTGCAGCTCGAATGCTATGCCCGGAGACGAAACTCCAGGCATTCGGAAAACGCGGCCAGCCTGATGGCAAGACACCCTGCATGCAGCCAACGTGCTCACTCATGTTCGTAAGGCCATGTGACCACGCCTCTCCGAGGCCGCCTCGCCCACTTTCTTGGCGACTTGCTCGCAAAGGAAGAACCAACATATCACGGCCTCTATTGCTCCTCACCGGTGCGTCAGAGACCAATCACGATGAGCATCGTGTCTCGACACATGCTCGCACAGCTCGACTGGATTCACCGCAACCTGTCGTCAACAGATCAAGGAATCACATGTTTCTCATCCAAAGTGCTCTTTACCAAGAATTTGTTTTCATGTGTGAATGACGGCCCTGCCGGCAAAAAAGAAAGCCCCTGAAAGTCAGGAACGTACCCCTTTGCCCCTCGGAGGGTTGTCTTATCTGATAAGAGGTGCCGCGGGGTATCATCATGCTACAAGTAGCTCCGTACGGCTTGGATACGGAGCCCCCCCCCACCATGGACGGACTCGCCCCTGGCTAGATCGACAGTACGACTGGCAACCAAAACGCAGCTTCGATTGCTCAGACGCAACGCCCCTCAGCACTTGCCTGCCCCATCAGGCGAGAGGATGCTGACAGCCGTCGGGAAGCTTCAAAGCAGGGGCGTCTCTTTTCCCGTAGCGGCCTGCCGGAGAACCAGCGAAACCGCCACATGCCCACGCAGCGTGCCAACCCGAACGACCTCGCAGGCCTTGGCTCAGTCACCCTCACCTCAGCAAAATCCCCCGACCCGTCCAGCCAGCGGCAGTGGCACGCCGCTAGATATGTGCCCCTCACACCCCTTCTCGACGCAGCCCGCGGCGCATCGCCAGCATGACAGCACGCCCACCCCCCGAACCCCCCCGGCCTTGTTGGAATACATGTATTGCAGCAGGCGAACGAGTGAGCGAACGAAACGCAAGCGACTGACCGACCGAAGGACGGGTAGCTCGTTTCAGAAACACCTCAGCTGGGCCGACACTGCGGACCACCTTTCTGAAGCCAACATCAGCACGACCTTTCGTCCTCGGTGTCTGGGCCCCCTTCTTCTTCTGCCACCACCACCACCACCATCGAAGCCCCTCGCCACCTCTTCTTCTCTCTCGAGAGCCCTTTGTTCGAGACGGAGCCTGCATCACGGGGGCGTAGCCACGTCAGGGGTTGATTGGGGCTGTCCGTCTGAAGGTGTGGTTGTGTGACCCAGGGACTTGGGGGAAGAGGGGGGGAGGTTCTCGGGAACACTGCCAGCACACAGCACGTTGTGCTTTTTTGGAGGAATGGGCGATGATTGTCTCGCTTTTGCTTGCGCCATGGTCAGCTCTGTTGCATGTCTATATTCCTTCTTGAACCCCCCCCCCCCCATCCATCCGTTCATCAATCCACACGCCGGTCGGGCATCTCGGTAAATGGCGTCCAATCCGTCAGCCTTGTCAATTGCCACACCTGGAACAGTACATAGACGAAAGCGCAAGGCTCGTCGTGTATCAATAGCGGCGCGGATGGTCAGCACAATGGGGGCGCGCAAAGTGAAGCCTGCCAAGATGACCACAGTACAATCTGAACCGGCAGTTCACGATGATGCTAACACCCAGGGCGGTCGTGGCCATATTACTTAAACTGGGACAGTGGCATGGGCCACAGGGACAGATAATCACCACGGGACCTGATTAGCAAGCATCCCTGTACATGGGAGGCTGTCTCGAAAGGCACTAATCCTGCGCAAGTCCGAATCTAGCGACGTGCAACAGAGTCAGAATATCATGGCCGACAACAACGCCCAGTGCGTGTACATGAGGATCAGGGTAGTAGAAAGGATGAGCGAACATCGTCGAGAAAAAAAGCCCACCATAAATCACTGGCTGGGCAGATATGGAATGTCTTGGCAGAGAGACTGCCATTTACCAGCCCATTTTTTGTGGTCAAACATTGTTGCTACACTGTCGGGAGCCATTACGCGGTGCCTTGCGACTTTGTTACAGGCGCATGCATCACCATTTCGTGTCGACCCCGCAAACCCGAACCTACTTACAGCACCGGCGTATTCCTCAGAGGTGGCAATGGTCATGGCATCAATAAGCGACTCCATTCTGCAACACCTGAGCCGTCTCAATTTGGGCGATAAAAACCTTACATCATCGTCAGAGTATTGCGATTGCTTGCGACGAGCTGGGAGGAACCAGCCGCGACAGAATAGGCCAGGCCTGGGCCGGCCAAGTTTATGTCAGGTACCGGATGGAGGCCGGTGTCAGACGGCTGGGCGTGGGGCATCGCAACCGAGCGATGGCCTGGCTTTGATCCACTATAGGTAAGCAGACAGTCGGGCTAAAGACAGCGGTCGGCAGCCTCAACTATAGGTGGTTCATCCGAGTATGTGTAAGACCTCAGCCGTCCGGGATATGCTCGTCTAGAGCTTATTGGGATCCGTCCAGGCACCTTCACCCTCATGTCGAAGATGAAAGCAGGTAGGCGTGCATGATGGGGGACTCGCAGACTGGGAGGCTGGGTGGCGTCGCCGGCTTGGGCTCAGGCCGGCGCCAGTCCGTTGGGTGCGGGCAGGGAAGTATGACGCCGCAGGTGCCGAGTCCGACGAAGTAGGCGGCCTTGCCAGGAGTCGGAATCTCAAGTTTCTGGGATAGAGGTGATCGTAATGGCTAACGACGGCCACCAACGGGGATGACACAACCATGCCAGATGTTCGGGACCGAATTGGTCGACCACCAACCATCATTCATCGGAGGAGCGGGGCTGTGAGGGGCTGATGGTCACGGGCCACGGGCACAGGTTCTGCCGCGCAAATGCGCAAATGCATCTGGCTGACGAAGCGGTCGTCGTCATGCACGACGGTGACAGGGTCGGCCACAAGAAAGGTTGGTCTTGGTGTGTATACGTAGCGGGGCGTCGGGGTCCGTCTGGCACGAGGATGAGGTTGCGTTCCGCTCGGTGTGGGATGGTGATGCTCCCTGGCCGCCTTGCCGCCCATCTTCTTGTACGGTGCCTGTCTTAGACCTGTGTCATATCCCAGCGTACACCTGCCGTTGTCTCTCGCTTGGGCCGAGGCGATGGTGGGGGAGAATTGTTTCAAAGACGAGGCGGGACAGAGAGCGGTGACATGGGTCCCAGAACCTGGACGTACATGTACGGAGAGGCTCAGTCAGGGCTTGCGTGTGTGGATGTCGGATGGAGTCGTCGGACGAAAGACGTTGGACGAATGAATCAGGGTTGGTTGACTGGCGGGCATGATTTATGCGAGTGGTGTGGTGTTGTGGTCATGGTGGAGCAGGGAGACGACAACGAAGGAAGCGGGTTTTGGTTGACAGGGCCCACCCCTCCATCCTCCTTCCTCCCCCCGCCCCTTTTGGAGTGTCGGGGGGTTCGGGGCGTTCCTCTCACTATGATGACTGTACCGGTTTGATGTGAAAGGGCAGATACTTTTGGGGACTACTCGAGGGCGGCGAAGGCGCATGCGGTAGGGACGCAATCGGAAAACATTGAGGGCCCGTAAAAGGCTATGAGTCCGAAAGAGGGGTTTACGATCTGACAATATGTAGCAGAAGGAGAGGCGTAGGGCGCTGATTCAGCTCCTCTCCCGGAGATTAAGAACGGAACAAAATAGACTGGAGCACTGTCGCAGCCAAT